CTCACTCTACTGTCCCCTCCTTTCTGGGAAAATTTGCCTTTCCTAATTTGTTCCCATCCCAAAGAAGAGTGACCCAACAGAGTGTGGAAACTATAGAACAATCTAACTGGTTTCACATGCAAGCAAACTTCTACTGAAGATTATCCAAAAACGACTGGAACAACACATCAGCAGAGAACTGCCAGAAGTCCAGGCTGGGTTTAGAAGGGGTCGTGGTACTAGGGATATCGTAGCTAATGTTAGATGGATCTTAGCTGAAAGCTGGGAATACCAGAGGAATGTCTATCTGTGTTTCATTGACTATGCAAAGGCGTTTGACTGTGTGGATCATAACAAACTGTGGCTGACTCTGAGAAGAATGGGAATCCCAGAACACTTGATCATGCTAATGAGAAACCTATACTTGGACTAAGAAGCAGTCGTCAGAACAGAGCAAGGAAACACTGTATGGTTCAAAATTGGGAAGGGAGTACGCCAGGGATACCTTACCTGTCTCCATACCTTTTCAACCTGTATACAGAACAGATTATCTGGGAGGCTGGGCTCTATGAGGAGAAATGTGGGGTCAAGATTGGTGGAAGATCTATCAACAATCTGTGATATGCAGATGATACAACCCTGCTTGCTGAAACTGAGGAGGACCTGAAGCACTTGCTGCAGAGGGTCAAGGACTGCAACCTCCAATATGGATTGAGGCTCAATGTCAAGAACACAAAGATTCTCACCACTGGGCCAATTGGCAGCATCAGGATGGACGGTGAAGAGATTGAGATTGTTCACAGCTTCCGTTTGCTTGGCTCCACAGTCAACACTCTCGACACCAGCAGCCAGGAAATTAGAAGACGTATTGCCATGGGAAAGTCTGGTGTTAGGGGCCTCTCCAAAGTACTGAAGAGCAGTGGTGTCTCTTTGGAGACTAAGGTACGTCTGATACAGGCCATGGTCTTTGCTATCACTTGTTATGCATCAGAGAGTTGGACAATGACTAGGGAGGATAGAAGGAGAATTGATGCCTTTGAGCTGTGGTGCTGGAGAAGAGTATTGAGGATACCATGAACTGCTAGGAAAACAAACAGATTCATCCCAGAAAGGGTCAAACCGGGCTGCTCCTTGGAGGCAAGGATTCTGAGGCTCCGTCTAACATACTTTGGGCATGTTGCAAGGAGTCACAGGTCCTTGGAGAGGGACATCATGCTTTGGTAGGGTGGAGGGACAGCGCAGAAGGGGAAGGCTCCCTATGAGGTGGACTGATTCAGTGACTGGAAAATCGGGATGGGTGTGTCGGAGATGGTGCAATTGGCACAGGACAGAGCAGAGTTTAGGGATGTTGTACACAGGGTTGCTATGAGTCGCAAGTGACTCGATGGCACATAACAACAACAAAAGCAACAACAAAGTCCTTGAGGCTCTCTCTGTTCTGCACTGCAGCCCTGTAGGAATCTTGCCCTTCAGTAGTCCCCTGACACCAATTCTACAGGCCTCCTCCATGTGTGAAGTGGCTGAATGGTGTGAGACCAGGTGTGCAGCTACTCAAGCAGTTTCTCATGCACGTTTTCTCCTGGAGTTTGTCTTCCTTTGTCTCTGGGCAGGCATGAGATTAGAGATCAAGGCGGCCAGCTCAAGCAGCTTGTGTGCAGGGGGGTCTCAAGTCAGCCCTCTCTCTTGCAGAGAACTATGAAAATTCTTTCCTCTGCTTGAAGATCGGTGTACTAGTCTCTTGTTCTGTTTGGCCCCTGGGATGACCCCGCATCCCCAGAGGCAAGGGTCCCCTGATGGAGGGACCTATAACCCCACGGACGCCTCAGTCTCTTCTCCCCACAGGCAATGGAGAGCACTTGCTCTCGGCACAGAGCCTCCAATAAAATGAACTGAGAATTAACAGACATTGTTTTGAAATTATTTATTTATACTGGTTCAGCTAAAAGTGAAAAGAAATACATTCAATAGTCCTAAAATAAGCCTATATAAAATACATTATTTCATTAAGGTACAGTTAAAATTCTCTGAAGCCAGTATATTAGCTTTCTACCTTTTTAAGGCTAATGCTGAAAATGCTAAAAATTTTAAAAAGTCAAAAGAAAATAAAGAATAGTAACAATGGTACCTTAAGGTTAAAACAGGATATTTTATAATGACTGTAGATTTCCTAAATGGAGGTAAGGATCATCATCAGAAAGCCACACCCTGTGTGGCCGAGTAACATATCTCCTTTATTATTTCTTCCCGTCTCCAAACTCCAGGCACAGATGAGAAATTTGGTATGAAAGTCTAACTAAACTAGAAGCATCATAAGAATACATTCCTGATATAGGTATATGATTTTAAAAAACCCTAAGAAAATCACTTTCTAGGCCAATGGCTAAAAAAATTTTGCTTTTAAAATAGCACGGTCCAACATTTTAGATACCCATAGGGCACTGGGTGCATAAGAGATTTCAGTAATATCTAGTAACCTGTCTGTCAAATATTTTTATCATCAAAATGTAAGTCACACATGTTGGGATAGTGTGGCAGCACGAAGGACAGCAGGCTGTTATATCCCTTAGTTTGGATACAACTGTTCAATCAAATGTTTATTTGCTCCTCAAGAAGCTTTTAAACTTGGTTTTCACAGACTTTGTGGTTAATTGATCAGGGAACCCTAGTTTCTTTTCCCAGACACAGTCTTAGTTAAGAGATTGTCCATATTAAGCTTCACCTGCAATTTACTACCTTGTAGCTTCGGACAAGTTACCTAATTTCTCCGAATTTCCTTTTTCCAACTATAAATCGCGGTAACAACACTAAATGTTACAAGGTTTTATTGTAAGAATTAGAGAGTCTACACATGATCCATGTCAGGTATTTAATATACAACAAATATGCTGTGTTGCTGGCAGATCTCTGTTTTACACATTGCCAAGCAGTGTTTCAGCTGATTAAGATCTTCATGAATCCTGTGAATCTCTTGATCACTAACCATAATAGCAAAACTGCTGTCATATAACAAATACTCATTTAGGTAGCTTATGAGAAAAAGAGGAATCAGAATAATTTTGTAATTTAAAATGCAAAATGACTGAACGAAATTCAGAAAGCAAACCCAGAAATCGACACTCCAAAGTTCTGGAGATTGTCTGCATGGATGAGTGTCATTTACTGTCACTGGCAGTAAAGAGAAACACCATGTTATAATACGCATTCCATTACCTTTCTAAGGCACAAATAAAAAGGATGCTCATTCATTCAATTCTTAATCTCTGCCAGCTGGTATATGAATATTCTTCTAAGATGGGTGACAGATATATACTAACACAGAAACAGTTACAAATAAACAAGCTTTACATGTTTATCTATTAATGAGTATGAAGACAAGGGGGGGAAAATTCCATTTCTAGCTACATATCATCTAGAAAACCTGAATCCTCTATTTCCAACAAAACATACAGAAGTGTTGGAAAAAACATAACACATGCTTTTAAATAAACAGCTGAATTTATAAGAAAATAAGGGGAAATCGTTAGGACTAAAAATGAAGAAAATGGAAAACTGGAGAGGTCTGTGTGAGCTGGTGCTGTAGCAATCCTGCACAATGTGCCAATCTCATTACCGTGGAAATTGCGATTTTAAGCATCTAGCCAGAGATGGAGGAAACCATGGACTTGCACAAGGCAGGCAGTAAGAATATCCCTCCCCACCCATCCTCACACTACACCGGGGAGACATACGGAGGCTTATGCCCTGAGTGAAAGGGCAGTCAACACAATGGTCTGGGCAGTACTGGCACAGCGAGACGAGGAGGCGGCTCAGCTGCTGGCCTGGGACAGCGGTCACCTTGAGGATCTGTTATCACAAATCTGCTCACAGGACATCTGGATTTCTAATTTCTAATACTCCTAAGGCCTGGGTACCCCAGAGATAAATCATTAAAATAAGAGTGGTCCCAAGTCAGTGACACTAATACATGTCATGTATGACATAAGCAGACTGCTCCAGATCCTCATCTATAAAGCTTTGGAGAAATAAGGACACATTTCAAAATTTAAAAATGACATTGGCAAAAAGTCTATTAAATTCAAGAACTGAAGATATAAACAGCAAGAGTAGACCCCTCAAAACATTATTTAATAAAGCAGTTGAAGAAACAGATAAGTAAATTGCTCAGTGGCATGACAGTAGGAACCTTTTCAAAGTCAAAGGTGGGCATCATGAATGGGCGGGGTTGGAGAATGTCACACTGTTGTGAATTTTTAAAAATCAGAAATACCTTTGACAGAAGAAACCCAATAAATAGGTTAAAAAGTATATACATAGCTGAAAATAGAATTCATGGAAAACAGATGAAACAATAATCCTAAAGGTATGACAGAAAATAATGAAAAAGAAGGTATAGAAATAAGAGGGTCCGTTTTTAAAAACAGGACCCACATTTTGTCTCTGAACTTTGTTCTCCACAATACAATAATCTGATTATTAAGAACACTGGGTAATTTTGCTACTGACAATATAAACATATTTTAAAATACTACTTGTTTAACAGTTTCTTATTTTTAGTATAAGCACGTTTTACCATGCATGATACAAAGGAACATTATTTTAAATTCTCCCCTCTTTAACTAATACCAAAGTATTAATAATTCATAAGTATGTGGGGAACGGTTATAGTTAAATGTTAACTCAAAACTAGCAGTATACTTATTTCTTTTACTATTAAAGAACAACTCAGCACTCTGTACCTGTACTGTATACAGCTAATATGTAAGTCAATGATTCTGCAAAATTAATCAAATATGTATTTAAGAAAAAATATAACAATGACTTATAAACTGTGAAGGAGGAAATGTTCTCAGACTACTAAAGCATCCTTGGATGTTATTAAAAAGAAGCATTTTTTTTAAAGACATCTAAGTTCATCTAAACTTCACATAAACATACTTGCTGTTCAAAGTGTGTGGATGGATTAAAAATAGAACCAAACAATTTCTCCAAGGGTGACTGAAGAGCAATTAATTCATGAAGTATCACACCCAGGCTTTCCAACCCGGGAAAAGTCGGCTGAGGTTTTTCGGGTCCATGGCCTGTTGTATGAGCAGGTTCACCTGGCCACCCACACTCAGCACGGTGCCTTCCTCCACTCCCTTCAGCTTCTCTTGTAGTCTCATCAAGACACGTTCAGCTACTTTGTTGAAACTCTGGTCAATATCACTAATGACAAAAACACAAAGATTTTAATGATGTAGCACAATTTAAACGGCCTGGGGGAAAAGGACATTTAAACAACTGACAAGTCCTTCCTACAATATTGCTTACCTGAGGTTTCGTTTGCATTCTTGATCATCTGCATTCAGAGAGGAGTTGAGTTCAGTTTCATCTTCTGGCCTCTGCTGTAAGTACAAAGCTTTCAAAGGATTCATAGTCCAGTCAAAGAGAGGATCATATAGGAGGACCTAAATCAAACAGATCTATTAGAACAATATGTGTTTTGAAGGTATATTTAGAAATAGAACTAGTATTATAAAACACACAGTCCAATCACATGGCTATTTACTGTGGTTTAGAGTGGCCTTCAAACATATCCTCAGTACCAGTACAATGCTCCGGGCTGCTTACGCCTTTAGCCCATTCTTAATGCACAGTTGAATGGCCTCCCTTGCTCCTGCTCCCTGACTGGGCAAACGAAATGATTAAAAAAATGTAGTTCTTTTCTTCTCTTTTCACTCTTTACCAGTGGTTTGGGGTAGGGGTACTGGCTTTGAACGCCCTAATTCTGTGGACTTTTCTTAAGGTCCATATTAGGTTGGAGGAGTCAGAGAATGCAGCAAACCGACTGAGACTTTACTCTTAAACCAAGCTCTCCCCAAGCTTCTTAAGTAATAAAGTTGAGGGAGACTTTTCGTTTCCATCTTACTCCTGTGGCTCTACCCTCCCCCCCCCAATTTGTACTGACATCTCAATACAAGTTTGGGGGGGAGGTATAATGTCTTGAAACCTCCTTTAAAGCCTTGAGATTTGGTGCTATGGCTGAGATCTTGAGGAGGAGACTAGGGATACTAAAATAACTGATATGGCCAGAATAAGTAGCTTTAAGTCTTAATGTTTATTCCTACTCCTTACTGCCTCGGGGCACAACCAACTCACAGCTGGCTTTCCACTGGCTGTCCAGGCTGTAACTCACACGGGAGGAGACTGCTCATCAGAGGTGCTGGTGGATCCGCACAGCCAGACAGGCACAGCCTTTGTGTTAACAGTACAACTCCAGGGCCACCACAGCTCCCCAAGCAAGGTCATTTAGGGTAAGATTTTTCACCCTGGCATTTCAGGGAAGTTGTAGGACCTTTTTTCTTCTTCTTTCTGTTTTTTTTTGGGGGGGGATGTGTGTGTGTGTGTGTATGTGTATGTGTGTGTGTGTTTTTAATAGGCCTTAGTAGTAAGGTGGAATACTTTGTTGTTATTGCCTTTATTGTGCTCTCAGTAGGTCCTCATGCTAGAAGTAGAAAATGCCTTTAGCTAAATTTTTTAGATTCTAGGTCAAGTGCTCAATCAGCAGTATTAAAATTTGGCCATTTTCTTACAAAATGGTTTAATACGGTTGTCTAAAATGCTCAACTCTAGAGTGACGAACAAACCTTACTTTCTTGTATAAATTAAGTCCTTAATTAACATTGTTGAGGCATCCACATTATGATTTATCCTTACTCAGGAATGCTGGAACACAATAATGTATGGCAGCATAAAGGAATAGAATTTGAAATGAGAACTAGAAAAGGAGCACATATGCAGCTTTGACAGTAGCAAAGCCTTGGATTTAATTTTTCAGCATAAATTTGGACCCATTTCAGAGTCATCATTTTTCATTGCCCCCCGTACCTTAAAGCAAAATCTGTGTTGTCACCACAAGCTCAAAGATCTATAAAGAGGCTTTGTTTGGTTCAGAAAGAAGGGCACAGGGCTACCAGGAGAGATGGTGAATGTCATTCCCCTGGGGACAGACAGTTTCTTCCACTTATTGAAATTTCAGTTTATATAATTTCACTTTTACCAAATACTACATTGTTATCTGGTTTCACTAATGCAAAGAAATCTGAAGAGGATTTAATCTTGTACAAAAAATGGTAAGATTCAAAGCTAGCAGTGAGCCCGTGCTTTGCAGCGTGCTGTCAACGAGGTAGTGGCAGTGCAAGCCCCAAGCAGCAAAAACAGGAATCAAGTGCTCCTACCAGGGAGCTGCATTCGGCCCCGGGCTGCCATGGCTAGAACTGTGCCTGCAAGCACGCTGTCTTTGATTTCATCTGAGCTGAGAGATTACTTTTTGGGTCGGTGATTGCTCAAATGTTTTCCCATAGAAATTGTAGCTGCATCTTCGTTTTGTACCATTTCAGCAAATTTAGGAAGAATTTTACACTGCACTTGTGAATGGTGGTCAAACCTGTACTCCTTGTATAGCCCCAGTGAATTAAGACGGTGGTTCTCAATCCTGGCTGCATAACAGAGCTATCAGAATCTAAATTCTGGTTGCACGGAAGGTGTTCTGTGGGGTGGTGGTGTTTTTTGTTTGTTTGTTAGTTTGTTTTTTGGCACCAACCAAGAATAAAAATATTTTGCCCCTCCCAAAAAATTTGGTAGCTGATGCTTTAAAAAAAAAAAAAAGTACTAAAAAACTCCAGACCAGCAACAGAACTCAAACTCACTGCTGTCGAGTCAGATCCGACTCTGTCTGAGGCTGTACGTCACCCAGGACGAGCCTGCTCATCTTTCTCCTGTGAAATAGGTGGTAGTTTTAAACTGGGTTAAGCAAGAGCACAATTCCCTTTTATCCCACCTTCTAATGTGCAGCCAGGTCCAGAAGAACTAAGCTAAAATCAAAGCTGGAGGAATATAAAGGAGGTATGCCTACTTGCCTCCTCCGTGATTCTTTGTGGAAGAAACCCTACTGATCTCCTGCCCCACACACTCCTTACCAGGTTGGTTAATGACTCTCACAAGTATAAAACTCCTGCTTGGGTAGAGCTAATGCCATAAGCGCTAGACTTCTGTTTCGGCCCAGGGTCATTATGAAACAGTGACCCTGATTAAGTCTGTATGCTTGGCAGGCCTGAACCTGTCCTCAGGCAGGCTGTCCAAGGTAAGGCGGCACCGCGGCACCAAGAGAGTGTGTGGAGTAGCTGCCCGCCTGGCCCCCTCCTAAGTCACGGTCCTCCACCCTCCACCTGTCTAACTGGTTCTAAACCTGAGCAGGCAGAAGAAGGTATCATTTAATAATCTCTTTTAACCCCAATGGAAACTATTCTGATAACACCACCATAATTGTTATTTAAGAAGTCAAAGTGTTGATTTATGTATTAAAGACCAGAGATTCCTTGTAATACATTCCAGGAAACCTGAGGGCCCTGGAGGTGTTTCTAAACCAACACTTACTGTGTGAGAACACTCAGCTGTGTAGCCCCCGCTCTCGTGCTGCCCAGTGTCATCCCACCTCAGGAAAGTGAAAGTGGTCCTCACATCGGTGCCCCCTCATGAGAGACAGTTTATAGAATAAAACATTTCCTTATGCATTTACCTCAACAATGGTTAACAGTGTTTCCTGAGAGTTTCTCATGACCTCCATGGTTTTCTCACAGCATCTACAGAATTAAACACATTATAATTACAGATTCTGTTGCAAACCAGTATGTTTTGAGTGCTCATGTGTAGAGTATGCTGACACTATTGGATTGTGTTTGATTTTTTTGTTTGTTTACATTAAACCATAGTTTAGATGAAAGAGTACAAGCAAATTTTCTCATGCACATTTTTGTTTCAGGACATGGGCTGTAATTCCTTTTCTGGCATCTTCTCTGGGTTCCCTGTTTCCTTCTGTCCTTTATTCTCTCCCTTTCTGTCTTTCAGCTGTTTGGGCAAATACTTTCCTTTTAGTTTTTCATACAGCTTCTATTCTTTGAGGAGTACATCACTCTCTGGTACCATTATTCATTTTATCGGCCTGTCTATTGTCTGGCTGAAAGTTGACCTGAGGGTTGGTTCAGTCCCAGCCTTGAGAAGTACTTAAGAACTATTATCTTGGGAGTTCCACAGAACTCTACCAGACCAGTACATAATGTTTTATTTTGTTCTAGGTATTTTCCCCTCCCTCTTCAGTATATTCTATTGTAATCCTGATCTTCAATTGTCATTCTTGTGAATAATTCTCAAATACTCTAGCACAATGACAAAGTAGATTTTCAATAAATGTTTCTGAAATAATTATGAATATATAGATATGAGTACTCCATAAAGTTAGCATTTATAAGAGCAATACCACTATAATGACCCTCCATTGCATTTCCAAGGCTGTAAATCTTTATAGGAGGAATGGCTGGAGTATTCAAACTGTAAACTTCTCAGCACACTGACACATTATAAACTATGCAACTCAGGTCCCTTATAAGGATACCAGTACCACTAAAAAACATTTGAGTTTTAAGATTATTATGATAGTCATTAATCTCAGTAACAGCAGAGTATACTAACTCAACAAAATATGAGATAGCAAGCATATGTCTCAATAAAAACTGTGTACATAAGAATTATGTTGAAAAAAATTACAGAGAACTGTAAAATTCTTTCAGTAAGAACTTATCATAAATATCAAACCAAGTATGAAATATAATCTCACCCAGACACAACAGCAAAGTTCAAAAGGACAGCAAACAACAAATGCTGGTGAGGTTGTGACACCAACAATCTTCTGCCCTCTCTTACCTTCTGAAGACACCCTCAACACCAGTGATGCCCATCCCGTCCACAATATCCCTGGTCAGTCTAAATGGAACGGTTTCCGGAGTAGGAAGAATTTTACCCTGTTCAAAAGCAACTCCTACATTTAAAAAAAAAAATATAATATTAGGAGATCTCACAGGCCATTTGTTTCCTGCCCAAAAGGCAAAATAAATTTTGAAAAGGCATGACTACTTCCTAAACCACTTGCCTCTGGAAACTCTAGGAACTCTGAGAAACAACAATAGTTATAGAAAGGCTTCAGGTCTTTTGTTCAAAGGGTTGCTAAGAGTCATGCTTGACTGGACAGCAATTAACAACAACAAATTTTATTAGTAACAGAACAGTTGTTTTTCCTGACACAATTAAAGATCTCTAGATTACAGAGTGATTTTTTTCCCTTTATTGAGATTTTAATGAAAGTTTATAAAGAACTTGGATTTCCATTCATTCATTGTTGCACATTTTCCTCCCCCTTCCCCCGCAACGGATGTTCACTTTTGAATTTGGGGGGGAAAAATCTTTCATTGTTATACAGTTCCACATGCCCCCGCCAGTCTACTTTTACTATACAGCTCATATTCTGGACTCTTGGCATGCAAATAATATCTAATCATATATTCCTTATATATGGTTCTCTCCCTTGTCTGTTTCAATGCCATGTACATTGTTTATCTCCTCTTTTCTTTGTTTGTCCCCAACCCCCATGCCAGTCCTGTTTTATAACAGTGGCGTTATGCAGTGTTTGCTTTTTGTGACTGAGAATATTTCACTCAGCATAGTATCCTCCAGGGTCACTCATATGTATAATAATTCATGAGCTGTTTTTCAGTGCTGCATAATATTCCATTGATTGAATATACCATAACTTCTCTATCCATTTGTTTGTTGATGGGCACCTAAGTTGTTTCCAACTCTTTGCTATTGTGAACAAAGCAGCAATAAACATGGATGTGCATAAATCTACTTGGGTGGCAGTTCTGGTTTCTTTATGGTAAATTCCCAGTAGTAAAACTGCTGGGTCAAATGGTATTTAGCCTTCCATAGTGGTTGGGCCATTTCACACTCCCACCAATAGTGAATAAGGGTTCCAGTTTTCCACACCTCTCCAGCATTTTTTGTTTGCTGCTTTGTTGAATTTTGCCATTCTATGGGGGTAAGATGATATCTGATAGTTGTTCTGATTTGCATCCTCTTAGAGCTAGGGATTTTGAACATTTCTTCATGTGTTTGCTCACCATCTGAATGTCTTCTTTGGTGAAGTGTCTGTTCATATCCTGTGCCCATTTTGCAACTGGGTTGTTTATCTTGTGGCATACAGAGTGATTTTTAAAAGATAAAGTAATGACTGATAGAATTTTAAATGTAGATGTCAAATAAATGTACATTAATTATATTATTACGTTTTATCTTGAGAGGAATAGAGATTCATATGCAGTAGTAAGAAACAGAAGGCTCATCCCATGGATCTTTGTCTAGTTTCCCCACTGGATTCCTCTTACAGCACCGCATTACACTCGTGCATTGCAGGTAAAAGTGAAAAAAGGTGCAGTAGCTAAAGGAAAAAGTTAGATAGTCCTTTAAAAAGCTGAACAAAATTAGGAGCAATTCTACTTCTGGATGTAAAACCAAATGCCTACAAAGCAGGAACTCAAAGATACTTGTACAGTAATGTTCACTGCAGCACTGTTCACAATATCTAAAAAGTAGAAACTACCCAAATGTTCTTCAGCAGATAAATGAATTAACAAAATATGATCTGTATACATTTGTTGTTGTTATCATGTACCATGGAGGCAGACCCAGAGGTGACCTTCCAGTGGGTTTTCAGAAGCAATTTAGTGGTATGGGAAACTGCCCTTCTTTCTCTCATGAAGCAGCTGGTGGATGTGAATCATGTGCCTTCAGGATTGCAGCACAGATTCTTACCACTAAGTCACAAGAGTTCCCATGTATAAAATTGGTTATTATTCAGGCAGAAATAGAAATCAAGTGATGGTACATGCTACACATCATGGATGAACCTTGAAAACAAGCTGAGTAAAACCTGCCAAACGCAAAAGGACATATGGTGCATACCCCCACTTCTACGAAGAATACAGAACATGCAAATGAGTGAAAGGTTTGAACTGAAGGGAGACTGACTTTCTGATTGTTGTTAAATGCCATCAAATCCCTATGAACGAAAGACCTGAGCACTTGTGTAACTTTCACCGTTTCTCCAAGTTCAAAGAGTTTCTGTAGGCAAGCAATTTTGGAAGTGGATGCCACTTCTGCTTCCAAACTTGTTTTAATAGGGAAGCTCCACCAAACACTGTCCACCATGGGTAACCATTATTGCATTTGACACACCAGTGTCACAGTGTTCAGCTTCACAGCAACCACAAGTTACCTCTGTACAGCAAGTGGACAGACAAGAGCTATACCACTTAGAAGAATGATTAGGATGACAAAAAATTTTGCCAGAATAAATTTAAAAACAAAAACCTATAGTATCAACATTGATAAAATAAAGCTATACTTTTATAGTCACATACTTCTATTTCACTCCCTCATTCTTAACACTTCTGAATTTCAAGTTCTGTATAAATGAAGTCATACCCTTTCCATACCTAACAAGATCACTCCAGTCCACGTGATGTCTCAACATTGCTTCAACATGCTACGTTTTCTTTATTCCTTCCCTCAAATCAAATAGCTTGTTGTCTAGACTTTTCCTTTTTTCCTTTAAGACTTAGGCACCACAATCTCTAATAAGTTTCACTCACTAGCCCAGAGTTAGCTTCAATATTTATTAATTTGGTAATATTCTGAGACAACTTTTCTTGATCAAACGTTTGTTAAATGAACTAAAAAAATATCTTTTTCAGTACTTACCCAAATCTATATGTACAAGTTTGGCTGACTCTTCATTTATCAAGATATTTTGTACATGTCTATCACCAAGTCCAAGTATATAACCAACTGGAAAACAGAAACAGTGATATCATCATCTAGATTTATTCAGCCATTAGTTCAACTACTACTCCTACCAAGTTTACGATTTTTTAGTAGTTTAGACTTATAATCTGTTATTTCTAAGTGTCCTCGAGTTGCCTGAAACTCAAAATCACCTCCATGTGCAACAGCTCTGAAGCCTCCCCTGTCCTGAGCCAGTCCACTGACTTTGACATACCCACGCCCATTACCCCAGTTACTATGTCAATCCACCTCATCTGGGGCCTTCCTTTCCTACACTGTCTCTCCACCCTTCAAATCATGATGTTCTTTCTCCAAGAATCAGTTCCTTCTGGTCATGTGCCCAATATATGAGACAGGGCTTCAAAATCCTAGTCTCCAAGGAAAAACTTGGTTTCATCCTTTTCAAGACAGACCTATTTGTTTTCTTGGTAGTCCATGGTATGTTCAAGACTCTTCTCCAGCACCACAAATCAAAGGCATTGACTCTTCTGTCATCATTAGTCACTGTCTCACTCTATGATGCATAACAAGTAATTGCAAAGACCATGGCCTGGGTCAGGCACACCTGCTATTGCTGTTTCTCAGTCTTCTGGAGAGGTTCCTGATAGAAGATTTACTCAGTCCAATTAGTCTTTTGATCTCCTGGCTGCTGGTACCAAGAATGACTTTGGAACTGTGCAATCTGAAACTGTTCACAGCTTCAATATCCTCTCCATCCATCATGATGTAGTCTATTGGACCAGTGGTAAGAATCTTTGTCTTCTTGACTTTGAGATGCAATCCATACCAAAGGTTGCATTCTTTGATCTTCTGCAACAAATGCTTCAAGTCCTCCTCACTTTCAGCAAGGAAGATTGTTTCATTTGCATAAAGCAGGTCTCCCTCCAATCCTGATGACACATTCCTCTTCATAGAGTCCAGCTTCTCAAATAATTTGCTCAGCATACAGACTGAGTAGGTAGGGAGAGAGAATACAACCCTGACACGCTCACTTTTCAATTTTAAATCATGCAGTGTTCTCTGGTCTGTTCTCAAAACAGCTTCCAGGTCCAGGTGTTGGTTGCGCATGAGCACAAATAAGATTCCCATTCTTCTCAATGTCAGCCACAGCTTCTTATGATCCAGAGTGAAACTGTTCACCTTTCCCGAGGATGAATTCATACTTTATGAAAAGCACTTCTAAGGCCTGTCTGGTGGTGCCAAAAGCCCAGTAGGTGTTAAAGAAGTTGGCAATGTAGGTGGTGTTACTATCTCTGAAGGCAGACACCAGGGGCTCCAGTAATGCTTCCAGTGTAAAGAGCTTGTTGTCCTTCCGAGTGGGGGTTTTTGAGTGTGGCTTCTGCACAGAATCATTTCCACCCTTCTTGTTCTGACAGTCAACTGAATTGTGGGTTTGAGGATAAGAGTGCAACCCAGGTCCAGTTCCTTGAGAAATGTTCTCATTATGTGAATTTTGGTGGCTGGAGCCTCTGGAAGTCTGTGTACCACAAAACAGCATCTTGCCTCCTTGAGCTTCTTTGCCCAGCTGAGCTGGACAGGAGGTGTTCCTTTGTGAGTGGGTGCCTGATTACCAGAGTTCTGAATTCTATTGCAGTTAGGAAGGAAATAACTTGGATACTTTTTAAAAAGAAATATGACTGCTTCAGTGGGTTACAGCATAGAGTTATGGAAGAAGTGATCTTTACTTAAACACCAATGCCACCAAACACCACTGCTATTCTTGTTCTCATATTCTAGGATTCTCTTAATTACCTTATTGAGCTCTCTAATGTCTTAAAAAAGCAAAAAAAAAAAAAGCCAAAATAGGTATTATACTTGGGATATTTAACTACATATTACAATTCGTATGCCTCAAACAAAATTCTATTAAAAAGAATCAATGTTTGGGAAATACCATATTATACATATTCTAACCAAAAAGCACAAATCAAAGGAAATAAAAATAAAGAGTTTTCACAGGTTTTATTATTTTTCAAAGACAAAATTCTCATTAAATGATATACTGAAGAAGAGATCATATGTCATACTTGCTATAAAGCAAAGAAAAGCAACCATGTCATTTCCCCATCTTGGTACAGGCCACCACCAGCCCCCCAATAAGCAGAATATAGGAAAATATGGAATCTAGTAATGTTACCAATAGAAGATGTGGCCACACTGCGAGTATAAGCCAATCGTTTCTCAAACCAAACAGCTGGGTCCAAGAATTTTTCCATGCAGAAATAACGGAAAACTGGCTGGAAATTCTGGCACACATCCATGAAGGTATTGTATTTCTCTTCAAAAGACTTCTTTTGTACATCCTTTAAACATACCATAAAAAATGTTTTCACATTATGTGTGTGAAAGTACTACTATACATAAACAAGATAATGTTTACATACAAGAGATCAGAGTATGGTCAGGAAAGATATTAATTATTGTTGTTGTTGGTGTTGATTGCCGTCCAGTCGAGCACGACTCATAGCAACTCTATGAACAAAAGACCTAATGCCTTTCCATAACTATCGTCATTTCTCCAAGTTCAGAGACTTTCCAGAGGCATGTGGTTTAGGAAGTGGATGCCACTCCTGCTTCCAAACCTGTTTTACAACTGGGAGCTCCATCAAACACTGTCCACACTGGAAAACCATTCTGGTATTTGACACTCCAATGGTACAAGGTTCAGCATCACAGCAACCTAGGTTACTTCAGACTGAACACTGACATAAAGAGTGATGTACAAAAGTGGAAGAGGGTTCCTCCAGCACTAGTCTCATTTAGTTCTGGTTAAGTGTCATCAAGTCAAATATGACTAAGAGTAAGTTTTGTACAAAAGAACTGAACTCTGTTCTATAACATTTCACTATAACTAACATTTCTGTACATTTATAGAGTTTAGAGTCTGTGGAGTTTCCAGAGGCATATAGTTTAAGAAGTGGATGCCACTTCTGCTTCCCAGCATAAATCAGGCTGGAAGCTCATCCAAACATTGCACATAACCTACTGAATTACAAGTGTTATTATTCCCTGGATGTTTTCCTATTATATTACTCTTATCGAAAAGAGGCACAACAACAGTGATTAATATATTTAACAGAATTATAATTTGAATGGTCCAATAAATTAGGTGAAAGTAAACACAAAAATGACAAGGGTTGCTCAGGAGCTTTTCAGACGGTATCAAAGAGCCAGGAGTGTGACAGAAAGCAAAGGAAAGGAGAAAGAGTAGAAAAACCATGGGCAGACGGCCAAGCAGGTGACACTCCTCAGAACCCTAGTCATTCAGCACCATCTCAAAATAGAGGCATGCTTCCAGATGGTGTGAATTTAGTTTCAGAGCACCAAGTAAAGCAAGTATCACAACACAGCTAGTCTTAATGAAGTTTTGGTTTCCAAGTGCATTTACAAATTATCTTTACACCATACTATAGTCAATAAGTACTACATACTGTAGTCGATAAGCACTGTGAAAGTGTATGAAATATGAAAATTGTCGACACATGACAGACACAGTAATATAAAGTGAGCACACAGTGCTGGGAAACTGGTGGAAGGCTTGCTCGATGAAGTGTGCGGCAATCTTTAATCTGTGGAAAATGCAAATATCCATGAGGCTCAATAAAACAAATTCTTCCTTACAGGCTGCTGAGGCAAAGTTCCTCTACTTCAATGGGTTCAACGCTCATCTATACGTATGATGACTTCCAAACATTTTTGCTCAGTACCATTTCTCATGAACCTACCTGCTGCTGTTCATTAGGAGAAAAGATGGGGTGATCTTGCTCTGGAGAAGACTGTGTACTGCTGGTGAATCAATTTCTGTAGGACAAAATCAAAGTGACCCTGCAGAATAGGACTGTCTCATCTTTTTTTGGTGCCATGGCTGCCAAGTTCAAACCATCAGCCTTTCATTAGCAGCTGAATGCCTTAATCACAGTGCCACCAGAGTGCCTTAAACACTGTAGCCTAGGAAACCCTCTTCTATCATTCAGAGTCACCATGATCCGTAACTGACATGACGGCACACAAGCCACTATTCTCCATCACTACTGTGTAGTTTCCGTGCAGAAGCTTCCCTTCAAGCCTCCAATTGGCTTTCTCAACAAATAACCCACATTATTGTCAATTATCTTTCTGTTGAAAACGTAAATTTTATAATACTCTCCTCCTCAACAGTTCTCTACTACCTACAAGATAAAGTACAACTTCTTAGCATTTCAAAAACCATGCATTTTTGGACTATTTACTCCACTTGCATCTTATCTACTCCTTCCCAAATACCAAATCCATGTTCGTGCCTCCATCTCTCTGTGTGTTCTTTCTGCCTGGAACACCAATTTACCAAACAGCTCAAACTCCATCTCCTCTATGAAACCTTTCTTGAATCTAATCATCTCCAAACCGACCCCAGATAAAAGGAACCACCGGTCTCTTCTGTGCTTTTGTAGTCTCTTCTGCAGCCAGAATGCCATTACCATGCCTGTGACACTGTTACAATTTTTTTAAGTCAACTAACAGAAAACACAAAAGGATAAGTAAACAGATTCTGTCATTGGACAAGGTTCAAATCTTTGTTCAACAATGCATTAGCTGATTGATTTAAACAAGTTAAGCTTTCTGAGTTGCTGTTCATCTTAAAATAGGAATAATCATGATGCTAATTAGTCACACTGCTTATTTGCAAAGTCTCTGTACAGAACATAGTAAACAGGATGTAAATACTGCCAGGTGGGTGAGTAGGTGAATGTCAGAGCTGATGGACAAAAGAGCACTGAAAATCTTTGAAAACTATTTTGTAATTTATTTGTTTTGTTCTAGTGTTTTGTTTTGTTTTGTTAAGAATTGCTTTATTGGCAAGAAGCTGCACTGCAATTCCAGAGGTACGCAGTTCAAATCCACCAGATGCTCTGCTGGAGAAGGAAGAACAATCTCCTCCTATACCAGTCAGATACAATTTGACCATGCACACACACAAAATAATAAAAAATAAAATAAAAAAGAATTGCTTTATCCTAAACAGGAAATAAGTTAGCATACAGTGCATAGTGTTTTGAGTGTATTTCTCACTTGACAAAGGCTGACACTTTCAGATTAAATAACCTTTCTTTTTTATTCATAAATACTTTCACTCTGATGAATTTACTTAAGTATATTTACGCCTCATAAAACCCGAATGTTATTATATAATATTTGAGATGTTAGCTGTAATAAACAAATGAATAATCTTGTTTGTTCATAATGAATCAAAACCACCTTTTGAATGGCACGTACCATCATTTTCTTTAAGCACTGGTTGGCATTGAAATCCTTTGGCCTGTATCTTCTGTGAGCACCAACTTCATGGTTAACAAGAAATTCACCAATAGGGACCGTTCCTGTGCACCACTCAAGAACACCACTTCGCTGAGACAGGGGAACCACCTAAAGATGCAAGGGAAATACCTTTTGATTATCGAAGGCCATTATACAGCATTTGACAATCATTCAATAACTAGATGTACTATAAAACATTTTTTCAATCTATGTTAGTATTTCTCTGCTTACAGAAGACAAATCTCTTGCCATCATTAATAATTAGTAATCCTACTGGAGCAGAGCAGAATTGCTCCACCCAGTTGAAGGTTGTTCTCTTGACCACACAGTTCTCCAACACCACAGTTCAAAGGCATCAATCCTTTGGTCATCCTTACTCACGGTCCAGCTCTCAGCAGCATAGTAAGTGACTGAAAAGACCATAGCTTGAATCAGGCTGCAGTGCTGGAGAAGAGCTGAATATCCCATGGACAGCCAAAAGAACTAACAGCTACGTCTTGGAGAAGGCAGCCAGAGTGCCTCTTGGAGGAAGAGATGATGCTTTGTCTCACATACTTTGGACATATTGCTAGGAGAGGCTATTCATTCCATGGAGAGGGACATTATGTTTGAAAAGGAGGGACAATAAAGACAGGAAGAACCTCAACCAGGTGGACTGACACTGTGACTACAGCAATGGGCCCCAGTATATCAGAGATGATAAAGGTGGCACAGAATAGGCCAGGGTTCATTTAGATCTATTATTTATAGGGTCACTATGAGTTGTTCTTGACTCAGTAGCCCCCAACAACAATACAATCTTTTCGGCAGCTGACTGCTACATCTTTCTCCTGCAGTGACTGGTGGGTTCAAATGACCACAGCAGATTCAGCCCCTTGAATGTTAGGCCAGAAATGCACTTGCTGGGCCTCCACCTAGACCTAATGAAATAGAAATGCTGAGGCGAGAGCTCTGTTATCAGTGTTTTAACAAACCTTCAAGTGAGGCATGCTATAGTTTGATTTAAACAACATAAAAGACGCTGCCCTACACAGGAAATGGCACCGATCCTTGTGTTTCATTTTGCTCAGAGGACCTGTTAAGTTGGTCTGTTGGTTGGTTGGGCTTTTTCTTTCATGGTGGTGTGTCTTTTCTACATTGCTAATAAAAGTATCAGTCAATATTTCAAAATTCTATTAAAGAAGCTCTTACAAAATTGAAAGTCAAGGAATGCTATGTTCTTTCTCCTTGTTCCACACTAAGGGGTTTTAGATTTCTGTCTCTGAAGCAGCTCTATATTCTACTTTCAACTACAAAAGGGGAACTCTTACTTTAAAACTAATGTTTATAGTTAGGAGAAAAAAAAGACAAACTTATTGTGGAAAAGTAAAAATATACACAAAAGCAGATATCATTCATAATTCTATCATGGCTGAGGTGACAATTTTTAGGCTTATTCAGAAACAAAAACTCATACTTCCATACTAAGTTCTTCTGTATTTGTACCCAAATACTTGCTTTATGATTATTTTACAGTTTTATTGGCCATCTTACTTAAGGAACCATATCAGTTCTATTTCTAAAGCTTTATAAACTCATGACAATTGGATAAAGTCTACTCTCATTGCTTTTCTCAAAAATACTTTAATTCTGAGTATATTTTTCTTTCTTTTTTTTTTTTTCTCAATCCAAGGCAAGTTTAATATCCGGAACAGAAGTCTTCAGGGAGAGAGGAGGTGCTGAACCAGTCAGTGACCCCTAGACGTGTGAGCAGACCCGGCCAGAGGCCAACCCACAGGACAAAAGGCATGTGGCACCCTGTGGGTGGCTCGCTTTTTTCATGACAAACTTTTATTCATTTCTACAAGTGATAAAAATTGGATAGAAATTTTATTGGAATTTCATTAAGTCTATACATTAGTTTAAAATGTATTTGTCTTTTTCAATGACTTCCTATTTAAATCATGACACTTCTCTTTTGTCCTTGTATTTCACTAGTCTCTCTTGTTATATTTTCCTATTATTTGTTTCATGCAACTCTGCATGCTCCTATATTGTTTATTCTTGCTACATTTTCTAGTTTGTGAAAAGGGGTTTTTTCCCCATTATATTTTTAAATTACTCTAACTTGATGACTAGTGTTAACTGTTGCTGTTGTTGTTAGGTGCCATTGAGTCGAGTACAACTCATAGCAACCCTATGAACAAAAGATCTGAAAGCAGTCCTGTCCTGCACCATCCTCACTCTTCCTGACACTCGAGAGCCACTGCAGCAGTCACCTTGTCAATTCTACTGGTTGAAGGTCTTCCTCTCCTTCGCAGACCCTCCACCCTTCCCAACATCATGTCCTTCTCCAAGGAATAGCACCTTCTTGCAATATGTCTAAAATGTTAGGCAACCCTCATCATTCTTGCCTCCAAAGAGCACTCTGGCTGCACCCTCTCCAAGACATATGTATTAATTTTCTTGGCCATCCATGTAATGTTCAGTGCTCTTCTCCAACACCACAGCTCAAAGGCATCTATTCTTTTTCTGTCATCCTTATTCATTGTCCAGGTCTCAGATGAACAGCTAGTAATCGGAAAGACTATGGCTGACTAGTGCTAAGTGGGGTTAAACTCCTAGAACAAATAATCAACTGCTGGTATGTTCCATTTTGTAGGCATAAAAGGCTGGCACAATACTAAGTTTTGCTGCTTTTCCAGGAAGCACTGAATTAGCTACATATTTGTCTTAATTTATTCATATCCCTGCAGAACACGAAAATCAAACAAGCAAGAAAAACGTAAGCTAAAGAACGAACACCAGAAAGGATGTAGTATAACAAACCTATGGAAAACAAGACCTTCAAAGTCAGGGCTTACTGTTATTTTTTAAATTTAAGACATTCCAAATGGATATTTAATCTAAGGGTTAGTGATGTTGGGCTAGTAGAATAATGTGACTTGACAATTGTCTTTTCACACAAAATGCTGGAGGAAATGCAAATGAGTACATCTCATGACCAAAATTACAGATCCACTAGCATATCAATTATTCAACTTCTGAAAATCTATTCCAGACATTTATTTGCATTTGTGCATATAATAATATATGTTGACAGTTATTCATGGCAGCATTGTCTGCAATAGCAAAAAACCTTGGAATAACCCAAATGTTCACTGACAGGACTTGTACAATAATCTGTATACATATATACAACTATTGAAAAATGAAGAAAGATCTTGAAAAGGTCTAATTTATTGTCAAGTAAAAATTAAAAACTCTGGAAACATAAAAATGACACGTTAAAAAGACGGGTATGAGGGGATGATGCCGACAGTGAGTGAAAATAGTCCCCTTTTTTTGCACCTTCGTATATTATTTGGATTTTTGAGTAATGAAAACTACCTAGTCAAAAAATAAATTTAAATTTTATAAAGTCTGCTTTATGTGCCATAATCTGCATTGAATCAAAACATCGAGCAGCATACCAGAAATAGGCAACAAGAAACATACCATTGCAATTAACATCAATGAGTACTTTTTATTTTTAAAAAATAAAATAATAAAAGAAAAATAATACTGTAATGCACACCCATGTTTATCACACCTTTGTTCACAATAGCAAAGAGTTGGAAACAACTCAAGTGCCCATCAACAAATGAATGGATAGAGAAGCTTTGGTATAGTCATATAATGGAATACTACACTGCATTGAAAAACTAGGAACTCATGCAATATTATTCAAAATGGGTGACCCTGGAGGACATTATGCTGAGTGAAATACCTCAGTCACAAAAGGATAAATACTGTATAGTGCCACTGTTGTAAAACAGGACTGACATCGGGGTTGGGGTGAGACTGAGAAAGATGGGATAAATTATGTATACTGCATTGAAACAGAGAGAGAGAGAACTGGTTAAAAGGGATTTATGATTAGGTACTATTGTTATGGCAGGAGTTCAGAGCGAAGGCTACACAGTAGAGTGGACTTGATGGGATGGACTGTATAACAGTGAAATAATGTTTCTTTTACTTTTCAAAGAGAAGAGAGAACTGAGGAGGAGGGTTGGGCAGGGAGAAAAGTGCAACAATGAATGAATGGAAATCCAAAGTCTCTGTAAGTTTTCATTAAAATTAATAATAATAATAATAATAAAAGAGGAAAAACAAATACTGTCTGTATCAAGGCTAGAACTATGGCCTTTGGACCAAATCTGCTTCTATACAGAATATGAGCAAATGATATTTTAAAAAAAAATAGGTTTCTGGGACTGCAAATTAAGAAGAGAAAGAGGATACAATGGAAATCGTAAATGCCCCAAACAGCCAATGATGTTTACTATCTGGCCCCTCACAGAAATAACTGTGACCCTACGTCCAGATAATGGCATCTCTTCTATGTCTTGGTGAAGCAGCAGGAGTGCAGGCTAGTTACCTTATAGGTGCAGATAGTCAATTTCCTCTTTCTGGTTTCCGTGTTTCTCTGCAGTAATGTGTTACACATCTGGAAAACCTGCTGCATGACAGCATCTTGTCTCAGGTCATCTCGGCCCTTTAGAACAATCAAACACGAACAACTGAGCGTAGCTCATTTTCTTTGCATTATTAAAAGTTATTTGAGGAAGACAGTAAAGCACTCACCAACCAACCTGGGCATCTGCCTCTTAAACAAAAGAGACCTGCTATGTTTTTCACTAGAATAGGCTTTCATTTTGAGCAGGCAGGCCAATTTAAATTAAACAGGTTTCCCCTCATTGCATTTGTACTTAGACTCACTATAACACCCCTTCTTGAGGGCACAAAGCAGAAACTAGGTTGGAGCAGCACTGGCTCTCTCTTCTCCTCAGCAGAGGACAAACAGCACCAGGGGAGAGTCAGTGAAGGAGGAATGTCGATCCTTCGCGGTACTTTAACAAGCACTTAGCAGGGTGGTCAGTCCACTGATCCATGGCTCACGCCCTGTGCTATTCAAGGTGCTAAGCAACAACCAAAATATTGTTTTCAAAAGAAGCAAGGTGATTATTCAACTTATCGTGTCTGCACATGTTAGGAATATTCTTTTACTTCAGTCATTCAACACAATAATGGTCTTTTAGGAGACACAAAAAAAAGGAAACAGGCATTCTGGTTCTAGGAAATCAAGGTCAAAATAAAGCAGAAAAGAAATCTCAACTAGCATTTTCCTGACATGAAGTCACCAGCATTCTGAGAACTAGACCAGAGAAGGCTCACCTTGACAAGCTGCCTCCTTTCCTTGCCATCAGAGCCCACACAATCTATTATTTTTGGTAAATTTAAACCTCCGGCTAAACGAAATTCTGCTTTAAATGACTGTATGGTCACTAGATTCCCATATTCTCCTGTGGGGTCCACCTAATAAAAGCATAAATATGATGACAAGTTAGATCAATTATTTGCATTTAAAGAAAAAGAAATTATAGATGAGAATTTTAATTTGAGAGAGAGAAATGACATCATTTTCTTGCTTAAGAACTAGAGCTATAACTTTACTTTCTCCTTTAAATAAAAGAATCAGATATGCCATTGGAAACATTTTTAAAAGTGACATACAGACAACACAACTAACCGAAAACTCTCACTAGAGTAAAGACAAAAAATTAAAGCAGAGCCATAAGCTAATTGAAAAACCAGGACTCCGGTCTTGCTATTTACCGACAACAGGGAATAAAATTCCTCCCTAAAATACTAACCAATTAAAATCTGGAAAAGGAGAGAGGAAAGTTCTATGTTATAACCGCTAAATCTGGTACTTTCCTGAAAAGTTCTGTTAAATAACCTTGTTCATTATGCTGAAAAGATATTAATCTATATACTGAAGCTAAATTTCAACTCAAATAAATATTGTTTCAAAGTACTAAACTGCAAACTCAAAGGTGAGATTTATAATGTAATTAAAAACGACTATTTTCTCAACTATAATCTTATTAAAGAAATTCTTGTCAACATGGTATTTCAGTAGCAACAGCTAATCTGTACCAAACTACTAAACAGATCACGTATATAAAGAACTAATATTGTATATACCACAGTCAATGTAATGTATATAATTTTAAAAGCAGTATGATTATGAAATTTCTTGTCAAGTAAAAAATTAATCTTGTTGTAAGTACAAAGTCTTCTCTAGCTAATTATGACAGAGTCATAAGAGAAATGAAAAGTGTAGAAATGAAGACAAAGCTTTCTTAGGCATGAGAGACACTGGAGTATATCAAAGCTTGTACAAATAAAAACTATAGGTTGAACCATATGAAGTTGCCAATATTAACCAATTCTGACCTCTAAAAAATTTCTAAAGAGTCAACCTGATAAGGAAGAGCTTCATTTAATATAAAAACCATGACAGTTAGTGCTAAATTACCTTAATTTCCATGGTGGGGACAACAACATCTTCTAAATTCTTAAGTTTAGTAATTGGCTGATCTGTTGGAATATTTATACCTTCTGCATTTAAAAATAAAGACAGTTTAGTGACATCTGCTCATGAAGGACAGCACTGAAGTTTACATTAACACCAGCATATTCAGCAGATGCCACAAACCTTAACTTGGGTGTAATCTACGATTGTTGTTGTTATGTGCTGTCGAGTCACTTGCGACTCATAGCGACCCTATGTACAACAGCCCTAAACTCTGCTCTGTCCTGTGCCAGTCTCAGTGTCTCGATTACCCCAGTCACTGAATCAATCCACCTCAGAGAGGGTCTTCCTCTCCTGCGCTGTCCCTTCACCCTACTAAGCATGATGTCCCTCTCCAAGGACTGGTCCTTCCTTACAACATGTCCAAAGTATGTTAGACGGAGCCTCAGAATCCTTGCTTCCAAGAAGCTGCCCGGATTAACCCTTTCCAGGATGAATCTGTTTGTTTTCCTGGCAGGCCATGGTACCCAACCATATGTAATCTATGGCTATGTAATCCTTGGCTTGAGTCATGTGCACTTAAGTCTTTAATATCTTTACTCTTCAACATTTTAAAGAGGTCCTTGAAGTAGATTTTCTCTATGAAATATTTTTTTTTAATTTCTTGACCACTGCTACTATGAGGGCTGACTGTGGTTCCAAGCAAAATGAAACTGTTGATAAGCTCAGTCTTTTCTCCACAGATCATGATGTTGTCTATCAGCCCAGTAGTAAGGATTTTTGCTTTCTTGATGTTGAGATGTAATCCAAATTGAAGGCTATATGTAGTCTTTGATCTTTGGCAGCATTTCAGATGTATTTACTTTGAGCAATTAAAGTTACATTGTCTGCATAAAACTGGCTGTTGATGAGTCTTCCTTCAATCCTGATGCCACATTTTTCTGGAGGGTCAGTTATAAGTTGCTTCTGACACAACAGCAATGAGTGAATGAGCCAGTTAGCTGGCCCAGACTAGAGAGCATGTTCAGGCTGCAACTATTTGCAGAAACACCTCAACTATTTGCTGAAATGGATAGTCCATCAATTTCTGGAGCTGCAATTTTTTTTTAAATAGTATTTTATTATTTTGTTTAAAAAAACCAGAGAAGTCCCTCAAATTAATAAACTGAAATACTCCTCTGGTATATTTCATGCAGTCTGTGGGGAGAGCATCTTTGTGTTGTCAAATGGATCAAGTCAATTCTTGCCCTTAATATTATTAAGTGCATGGAGACCACCTCCTTTACAGATGTAATCACTGTGGAAGAAGAAGGGGGGGGAAAGTGGGGAGAGGGGAAAGGGTTGTGGGAAGAGAGGGCAGCCCAGGTGTTGAAATTTTAGAAACTGGCAAATAACCTTTTGTGTAAAATCTTTTAAGTTCAAAATGCAGAGAAGGGTCTTCTAACTATGCTTTTTGATTCCACAGCTGCTGCCATTTAAATGGTAATAAAGGACTTCTACAGTCAAAAAAACCCCAAAACCAGAGAATAAGGCACTCAAAAATACAAGTATACTTGTCATACATTTTTGCCAATGACTTGGGATTGCTCGGATTTCTTCAGTATCACTGAAAAAAAAAACAGTATCACTGGGTTTAGATCATTTGCTGCTTTCTGAAGTGATTCAGCATGGACCAAATCTTTCTGGTACAGTGAGATTCTCTATCTTCCTTGCATCTTTTTTTTAATGTGACCTGCATTGTGCAAGATTTTGTCCATAGACTCCATCAGCCCTGGAACTTGAGGCTGGAATTTGTTCTTCTGTTCTTTCACCTTGAAAAATGCCAAGTGTCTTCTCTCTTGCTTCTTTAATTCCGAGTCTTTGTACCCTTCATTATAATATTTTGCTTTGTCTTCTTGAGCTGCCCTTTGAAATCTTCTGTTCAGCTCTTATTTAGTCATTTGTCTTTTGCTTTAGATTCTCTATGTTGAAGAGCAAGTTCTGCATCTTAAGAATTTACACTGCACACAGATCAGCCACTCCTGCTATATTCTTATTAATGTGACATAGTGCTTTATTAAAGTAACTATTATCCGTTCTTATATTAGAGTAATAATATAAACATAAAGATGTAATTCTGAATAAAAAAAGAAACTTATTAAACTATAACACAGTTGTAAGTTAGCATTTCTTGAGTCTACTCGCATTACCAAATATTACAATTTATTCTAACTATTTAAGTAGAAATATCAAGAAATATTATGGCCTAAACTTAAGGCATTCCAGCACCTTTGGAAGGAATGACCATTTAGTTTTATAATTTTTAAGTCTTACAGCACAATGAATAACCAGTATCATTTTTTAAAAACGCCTCTGACTCTCAAAATTCTCAATTACTCTGGTACTCTAATGGGCTTGCCTCTATAGAGCTCTTTGAAACAAGTATTTATATCAAAAGATTGGCAGAGAATTTAAAGAATTCACACATTTTAGTGTAAGCAGCTGTCAAATCGGTCTTGGACTCATGGTGATCTCACATTCTGTAATCCACTGGGTTTTTACTTGTTGATACTTTGGCAGGGGCCTTTCTGCACAGACTGCCCTAGTTTAGAAGCCCCACTGACACCTGCTCAGTGACACAGGAACATGGAAACCTCCACTGACATGAGTGGTAGCTGTGTCTGGGGCACACTGGCTGGGATGTGGATCCACACCACTCACATAGAAGGTGACGATTCTACCACTGAGTCACCAATGCTCCTCCTTTAGTGTATTCACTAGTAGCAGTTGTATGTATTAAAAGTTATTAAGTGAAACATGCTGAAACAACTAGGTAAAAATAAAGTTTTTAGGGGAGCTCTGGTGGCCTAGTGGCAAGAAGCTGTACTGCAATCCCAAAGGTACATGGTTCAAATCCACCAGATGCTCTGCCAGAGAAAGAGGGATAATTTCCTCCTGTACCAGTCAGATTTGATTTGACGGTACATGCACAAAAAATAATAAATTTAAAAAAAAGTTTTTGATTCATGTGTGAACAATAACCATCAAGACTTCATTTTGCAATCAAAACCACTATCTGTATGTTAAAATATTTACATATTAGATTCTATAGTGGATATATCTCTACAAAGAATAATACAGTAAGACAATAACACTCATCTTTTCACACACATACTTCTCTGAGTCTTCCACTGAGAGGCATCCATGTTTGCCAACAGAATGTAAGCATCACAAAGTGCCTCAACATTTCTAACCATCTGAGGTCTCCTACTTTTGATAGTGCGTATTATTTTGTTTGCCGCTTCAGTTCGATCCTATTTAAAGAACAAACAAAACCAAAAAAAGCCATTATATGAGGAAGTTTTCAACATGTAAATGGAACTACAAATTAAAAATAATCAACTTTTGAATGAAATCTGTAATTAGTAGCTTCAAGAGTCAATGACTTAGAAGTCTTTTAACATTTTTTCTTCTTTGTTCATTGTTATAAAAGAAAAAGTACTACTGGTATTTCTGCTTTAGGAAATTGTCAAAATTTATGAACTAATTTTAGCTGATACCATACAAAATTATTTTAAACTGAATACTGCTAGCAATAGACATTAGCCTCACTGAAACTCAAGAAAGAAAGAAACTTAAGAAAGAAAAACTATCCCATTTCAAAAGGTAAGTTTAATTTGAATACCTCATCAAGCTGAGAGCTCTGTTTGGGTGAATTTTTGGTTATTCTACCCCTTCTTGCTTCTTCTGGTTTGATCAGAAATTCATCTTTATTTGCATTTGCCAAAGCCAGTATAATAAATAAAGTATGATGTGGGTGATCCATTGAAGTCCTAGAGATGAGCTGTCAGAAAGTTAAGAATAATCAATTTTATTAAAAATAAAAAAAGGAAAATTGACATTATAATGAAAACATTTTTTAATGACAAAAGAAAATGTCATTTCTGCCTTTAAAAAGGATAATACACATAACAAAAATGTTTTGCTTTTTTTATACTGTCAGTTTTTACAAAGAAAAGGCAGTATATACAATTTGTAATTATACAAAAGAAATGATTATATTTTTATTTTCCAGATTTACTCACATTATTGAGGACTTCATGAAATCCCAGGCCACCTCCCATCATCTTGGTTCCCATTCTAGCAGCCAACTGGTACATAAGAGGCAAAAATTTATAAGATGGGATCTTCATTCCAACTTTCTGGCATTCAAAAGCAAAAATACCAAAGGTAAGAAACAATTCATTTCAAATATTTTCACATCCAAGCAAATAAATTATTCAAAGATAACTTTACCAGCACAACTGTCAAAGGAGCTCTGGTGGCACTAAGATTAAAGTATTTGGCTGCTAATGAAAAAGTAAATATGAACCACAAATTGCTCATGGGAGAAAGACAGGCCATTTGCTTCTACAAAGCCTTAAACACCCTACGGGGCAGCTCCCCTCTGTCCAATACAGTTGCCGAGGTGGAATCGGCCCAGTTGCAGTAAGCAAAAGCATAGCTGTCTAGTGGTTGTTCATAAGACTTCAATAAGGATAGATGATAGATAGATAGATAGATAGATAGATAGATAGATAGATAGATAGATAGATGATAGATAGATGATAGATAGATAGATGATAGCTAGATAGATAGACAGAAAAATGATAGACACAGATATATTTTTATCCTATCTGAGAGCCTTTCTAATGCTTATTCTAGACTGCTTCACTGGTATGCCAAAGAATTTGGTCCTAAATATAATGGTATTCAGAATTATAAGATACTTGACAGTGCTTAGCTTATATTCCAACACCTGCAAGGACAGAGTTAATCTAAGGAACCTTGTGATCCTGACTCCTGATAAACCAGTGTACAGTAAAATGGAACCATTCTTTTTATCCTATATGCTCAAAGTAACTGGACTTTGTGTACACTAGTAACTAGAGATTGGTTATACCTCTTTCAAATCTAACAATTCTTTTCATCAAGGGGAGGCATTTTGTTTTTTGAGCTTCAATGTGACTGACAACAAATATTCTGTGGACATTTGGTTCACAATACCTTAACAATAGGTGTTATGGTTGGATGTGCCCTAGGTGATACAGTTCTTTTTAACTATTAGGCTGCTAATCAGCAGGTCAGAGGCTCAGGTTTACCCTGAGCCACTTTGAAAGAAAAGCTTGTTAGTCTATTTAAAAAGAAAACAAACCAGCATTAGGGACCCTAGCAAGCATAATTCCTGAGACACACAAGCACAGCTGTCAGATTCAACAACAACTGGTAAATAGTCACTAAAATTCGTAATTAAGAAATATTACTGTCTTGGTATTGTCTTTTAAAGGAATTTTCCATTTTCAAAAGTAATTCATTGTTAAAAAAAAATAAAAGCATAAAGAAGGGGAAACACCTTAGATCACATCATCATTAACTGCTTAGTGATTCCCTAGCATCCTGGGCACACTCTGACGGTACTTAAAAATAAATAGGAAGAAAAAGAGCTAAATGCTCACACTTCTATGAAGAAGTTCTATTAGAACTTACCAAGCACCTATGTGCTAAGTAAACTAAGTGATAAGGGTATAACCACTTAACCATCTCCTGATTCCTTATATTGAGGGGCTTCTATTTAATCTTATTAATGAAGCAAAGGCTAGAATTGTGAGTTGAATAAAAAGGCTTGCCTTCATCATGCCATTGACTTCAGAAACACCGGCGTTTTCAAGCCAGAGGGAACAAAGCCGGAATACCCACATATCATGCTCTTCTCCACTTAATAAGCAGTTGATGTAATTTTCGACTGCTTTACACAAGAAGCGCTTGCGATCCTCTTTCAATGCACGGAGTGCACATTCATCCAGCTCCAGCTCCCTCTGAACCTTTACTGTGTATCTTGAAATGGATAATTAAAGTAAAACACAAAAGCCATCAAATGTTACATAGCTACAGAATCATACATGATGTACAGCATAACTGAGACCTCAGATGTGCAGCCGGTATCGCATTAGTCAATAAACAAGTCAAGCACTTCTTTACTTGTACTTCCTTAGCAGTGAACAACTTCACCTTTTTTCACCACATCAGCGATTCTGCTTCTAATTATGGCTGGTTCCTGCATATCTCCCAACCCTTCAGAGCCAAAGCCTCTTTTCAGATTTAAAGATCCTTCCATGAACAGTAAACAGTGCAAGCACAGGTACACTTGTGTTTATTCATTTATCTATACTGAACAGTTTCATGATTTCACCAACTCAAAGCTATACCGAAAGTCATGTGACATGGTCACAACCTCCACATACACACATTCAGTCAGATAACTGAGTGGGTAATATTAAAAAAAAATTCATCCCTTCTAGACATCACATTACCTGTTGGTCTGAATTTTATGTTCCCTGAGGAGGCCCACTTCTTCTTTAGCCCTTTTCAGAAGCGCTTGCTTGTTTTCAAATTCTGACGACTTCATATAGTTCTCAATTCTCTGGTACTGGGTATCTGAGAACCGTGCTAAGGAGAGGAATGCTTTCATTTTCCCATTTCTAAGCTCATCATTGTTTCCTCCATCATAAGTTCCAGCTACTTCCACTGCCTTCAAAAAATACAATTTATAAAGAAAATATAAAACTTCTAAGTATACAACCATTTCTGTTTTATTTATAAATACCAAACAGAACTGACTTTAAAGAATCATCCAGATTGAGGTTTTATCTATAATGAATCTACCTATATGTATGTGTGTATACACATACATATATAACTCAGTCATATGAAGTACAATGTTTTCTCAACTTTTCAAAACAACTTTGATGGTGAAGATATAACCAAAACAGTTAATAAAAACGTATACAAACACCAAAGGACCTTAAATTTGTTTCTTTATATTCTATTTGGTTTGTTGTTGTTCAAGACATACACAGAAAAATATACAATTCAAGTTTCTAAATGTCCAATTAAGTAACACTAAAGATTACACTTTTTCAAGTTGTGTAAACATTCTTATCCTCCTTTTCTGAGTTGTTACTCTCCCTTTAGCATACACCCACTATCTCCATTAAAGGTTCCTATCTATCTTCTCAGTAGCCTATGTACTGGATTCTATACAGATAGCTTTTAAAAGAGCATAATGCTCGCCACAACAAGATAAAGGCAAACAACCCATTTGCAAAATGGGCACAGGATATGAACTGACACTTCACCAAAGAAGACATTCAGATGACGAACACACACATGAAGAAATGTTTAAAATCCCTAGCTCTAAGAGAGATGCAAATCAAACTAAAACCCTTATTCACTGCTGGGAGTGAAAATGGTGTGACCACTATGGAAGGCAGTATGGAGCTTCCTCAAATAGTTGGAAGTAGAAATAGCATTTGACCCAGCAATTCCACTACAGGGAATATACCCTAAAGAAATCAGAACTGCCACGCAAGCAGATATATGCACACCCATGCTTATTGCTGCTTTTTCACAATAAGAAAGAGTTGGAAACAACTCAAGTATCCATCAGCAAATGAATGCGTAGAGAAGCTGTGGTATATCCGCGCAATGGAATATTATACATTGAAAAAACAAGGAACTCACGAAATATTCTACAAAATGGGTGACCTTGGAGGACATTACACTGAGTGACATATCTCAGTCACAAAAAGACAAATACTACATAATGCCTTCTTATAAAACAGAACTGATAGGGGGTTGAGAGGAAACTAAGAAAAGAGGCAATAAATAATGCACACGGCATTGAACCAGACAAGGGAGAAAACTGTATAAAAGGGAGATATGAATAGGTATTATTGGCATGACAAGAATCCAGAATAAGAGCTGCATAGTAAAGTTGAGGGGGTAGGGAAGAGAGCAGGACAGGGACAGGATTGTATAACAATGAAAGAACTTTTTTTTCCAAAGAAAAACATTAACTGGTTGGGGAGGGGAGTCAGGGAGGAAAATCTGTAACAATAAATGGAAATTTAAAAATAAATAAATAAATCCAAATACGGAGGTGGGGAGAACATAATGCTTAGGACAGACGTTTTTTTTGTTTGTTTGTTTGTTTGTTTGTTTGTTTGTTTAAGACAGACGTTTTTAAGAAAACATACATATGGGGATCTTTCTGGTTTAAGTTTTAAACAATTATCTCATGGCAAAGAATCTTTCATATTTAAAGACAGTGTACTTTTCTTGTTACACTGTTTAATGTAATTATTTCCAAAATTAATTAAAGGGAGAAAAAGGAAAGGAAAAGAGAGATGAATGAAGTACTAAAGGCTTAGAATTTACTTGTCTACAGGGTGGTTGGGGCACAAATGAATAGTCAAGACTTGCATATTCTTGATCAACTCTTCTGCCAAGTATATGAATAGATAAAGTCTCAGAAACAACTTGTGAAAGAGCACTGAGTGAAGAAGGAGCCCAACCCCTTTCTTCTTCAGCATTCTTTCATTTGACCCTAAAGATTATGTTAAGCTAACACAGGTATAATATACAGAAAATGAAATTACATTTTTATCTGATTTTTATACATATAGCCTTGGGAAAAGATCAGGTTTATTTACACTAAGCCGTTATCTCAAAAGTTGCTCCAAAATCTTACCTTTTCTAGATAGGTCTGCATGATGACTGCAGGATTTTCTAAGCAAGTTTCTGCTAACCAGTTGCCACAAACTCTCAAACATTCTGTGTACAGCAGGTTTTGGTTGGGTTCATTCTATATAAGAAAATTTAAAAATATAACTATGGCTATCCAAAAAAGTCCAAGTTGTGGGGGAAAGGGGGGAACTTTAGATTTTTTTTTTTTATTTCAACTGCTTTCACTGTATAACTATTCTAATTTTTAAAAATATTTTGTTTCCTACACACCCTCTCAGAATTCTACAGAAAACGTTTATAAATGCTCAATATTGGGATAAGTGAAACAAAGTCACCACAAGGTAGATTGATACAACTGCTATGACTAGGAAATACAGGTCTTTTTTAAATGAATGAAATGTAATATAAATGAAGGACTGTATGGAACACAGTGTACATGCATTAAATACACTGTAAACGAACAATGAAAAAAATACTAACTTTGAAAACATTTTTATAATTTTTTGTTCATGAATAAATATTTTCAAGCTTTTGGTATACCGAGGCAAGAAATAAATATTTTCCACACCAGTGAAACAAAAAAAGTAACCTCTGTGCAACTGGCATCCAACTTCTTGATCATTTGCTTGAGAATATTCAGGGCAAGACTCTGCTCCTTTTTTGCCCAGAAGACCTGTGCTTCCTCCAGCTGCCATTCTGAGACACCATGACTAGCTGAATTATACTGTTTAATGTGAAATATTGCCCGTTCAGGGAGCTGAAATGAAAATTGACATATTGGAATAAATACTATTACTACCATTATTATTATTAACTGCTGTATACTAAACATTTACTATTCCTGAGGAACTGTGCTAAGTGCTTCTCTACTTGACTTCCACCTCCAACCTTGCCTTGTCTCTCTTCTTTCTTCCTCCTTCTCTCTCAGACACACACACAGAGAATGTAAAATCACTGACTTGTTATCAATATACTGAGTTACTTATTTTCTTGTTTATAATTACGAAATAGAGGTTTAGAGAAAAATACTTTGCCCAAGGCTTAAACTCAGGCTTACCTAACTCTAAAACATGAAATCATACACAGTGTTTCTGCAGTGATCTTTCTCTCAAATGACAATTCTTTCTAGGTTATGCTTTCAGCTTTGAGTAAAAATCAGAAAGGCAAAGGGTGAGATGACACAGTTTTCAATACTATTACCTGTGTGTTCCTGAATGTTCGAGCCAAGACAGAGAGTTCTATAAGGTGCTTGGTGAGAATGTCTTTGAAACATTCTCTTTGTGAGTTTTCCATTTCCTTTTCCAACAGGATCTCCAAGATGACTGTGCGCAAAGCCATGATAGGCTCCTGAAAACTAAAATCACTGTCCTTGAGAAGCTGGGAGTGTTTCCACCACTTACTGTATACTTCAGAGAGTTGCTTATCTGTGATTGACCTGAAAGTCAAATCATAAGTTCATGTAAGCAAGGGACAAGAAAAAAGAAAAGAACGAATAATATTATTATGTGAGTTCTAAAACTTACAGTATGGTAAACTCAAACTCTTGAAAAGTATTAAAAAGATCCCCAGGCAAAACAAGTCTCCCTGATGGTCCTGGGACCAGAGAAGACTTCAGGTAGGGCAAGTTGCCAACCTCTCCCTGGAGCAGTGAGGATCCCATGCAAGGAGAATCACCTGACCCAAGACAGGCGACAAGGCCAAACAAAAAATTTCTATCACTGCAATATGAACATGTACGGCTAAGCACAACTGATAACAGTGAATCTAAATTCCAAAATCAATCTCCATAATAGTCTATGTGTTTCCTACTGCCAAAGGGGCCCTTTAGAGTAGTGAGAATCTTCACCCTGAAACCCACAGCGTCCCTTTTCAGCAGGAAGTAGCTAAGAGAATACGCCATCCCCTTTTCCTTATGAATCAGGGTGAAGTCTCTCTCGGGGAGGAGTGATACGGAATGGCAAAGGACACACTGACAAAGGAGATTAATCAGAACTGGCTTTGACAAGCACTGTGGCAATTGGACAATTAAAACAGACATTCGGGGGGGAAGAAGAACGAACTGGGGAGGAGGGTAGAAAAAACAGTGCAACAATGAATGAATGAATGAATGAAAACCCAAAATCTCTGTAAATGTTCACTAAAACTAATAAAATTTAATATTAATTTTAAAAAGAAAAGAAAAAAAAGAATCTGAAATAAGACCAACATCTTAGACGCTATCAACATGTTCAAGGGCATGTTAGAGTAGAATTGAAGAGACAGAGACAAAATTAGAGAAATTGAAGATAGAGTTCTCCGTACTGATCTACTAGAGCAAAGCATAGAATCAAAGAGGAAGGAAAATGAGGAAAGCCCAAGAATAATGTGAACATCATCAAGAGGAATAATCTACTTGTAACTGAAATTCCAGACTAGGAAGACAGGGGCAGAGGGAGGTGGGACAGGGATGGGGACGGGGGACCACAGCTCTGAAAAAGTTGTGAAAGACTTACTGGGGAAAACCTTTCCAGGTTATCATGAAAAATGATAAACTATACACCCAAGAAGCTGAGTGTAACCAGACTAGACCCCAAAAGAAAAACACCAACAAATATCATAGTCAAATTTATCAGAATCAAAGACAAGGAGAGAATTCTGAAAGCAGCTAGAGAAAAGCAAAGAGTAACCCATAAAGGAGAACAAATAAGATTAAGCTCTAATTTCTCAGGAATCATGGAACAAGACAACAGTGTAATCGCATATACCAAACACTGAAAGGACACAATTGTGAATATTATACCTAGCAGAACTATCCATCAAGAATGACAGAGTGATCAGGATAGTCTCAGAAAACCAGTTAAGGAAAACAAGATCAATGATGCAAGAGAAAATCCTTTCCACAGAGATGCCATAGAAAAATGGAAGAATCAAAGTGACCCTCAACACACAGACAACGAACCCAACAAACTGACAGCAAGAAAAACTTATGTCTTGATAATCACACTGAATGTGAATGGTTTGAATGTACCATGAAAAGAAAAGAGTAGCAGAAACAAAACTCATCAACATTTTGTTTGTAAGACACACACCTGAGAAGGGAAGATAAAACAGATTGAAAATCAAAGGATGGACAGGAAAAACATATCAAGAAAATGACAATTAAAAAAACAGCAGATGTAGCAGTATCAATCTCTGGTAAAATAGATTTGAAGGTAAAAACCGTCATAAATGACAAGGAAGGTCATATATAACGCTAGAGTCAAAGAATATTCAGAAAGATACAACCATGAGAAATAGCTATGCACAAAATGCTAGAGTTACAAAATACACAAAACAAACATTTACAGAACTGGACTAAAAGAAGGGGGGGGGGGAACCCATCAAAAATAGTAGTAGAAGACTTCAATACACCATTCACAAAGAAAAAAAGGATGAATAGAAAGAAACTCAACAAAGATGCTGAAGAATTAAACTATACAATTAACCACCTCCTAGACTACAAGGTAATGCACCCTAAAAAAGCTCAATATACATTCTCCTTGAGTGTGTATGGAACATTCTCCAGAATAGATCACATTTTGGGTCACAAGACAAGTCTCAATAAATTTAAAAAACTGAAATACTACAAAGCATTTTCTCAGACACAAGGCTATAAAACTAAAACTCGACAAGATAAAGGCGAAAAAACTAGGCAGCTGGAAACTAAACAACACCTTCCGTGAACACACACACACAAAAGGAATACAATTTCTTCTTGAGCACAAGAAGAAATAAAAAACTAAATTTAAAAGCTTGTTTAAAAAATAAGAAAACACAACTTTCTAAAACCTCTGGGATATCGCAAAAGCAATACTTATGGGGTCAAGCCATAGCAATAAGAAAACACATCAAAAGAATGAAAATAAAATATTTAATCTAATATCTCTAACAAATAGAAAAAGAACAGCAAGCAGACTCAAAAACCTCCCAAAGAAAGGTAACTATAAAAATTAAAGCAGGGATAAATAATATAAAAAAGAGAAAAGCAGTTGAAACAAACAGTAAGACCAAGAGCTGGTTTTTCGAAAGGGTCAATAAAATTGAAAAACCACTGGCAAAACTAATAAAGGCAAAGAAAGAAATAATCTGAATAAGAAATAAAGGGGAAATGACACTACAGAACCAATAAATAAAAAGATTAGTAACAGAATTTTAGGAAAAGCTGTAACAATTCTGAAAACCTAGTTGTTTTTATTATTAGGTGCCATCAAGTACAACCAACAGTGACCCTATAAACAACTGATATGAACTCTGTCCTATCCTGTGCCGTCCTCACAATCTCTGACATACTCGAGCCCATTGATGCAGTCACTGTGAGTCAACACACCTGACTGATGGTCTTCCTCGCCTCCGCCATACCTCTACCTTTCCAAGCATGATGTCTCTCTCCAAGAAATAACCTCTCCTAGTCACTAACATCTTAGTATTAAGACTGTATTGTTAGGGGAGCTCTGGTGGCCTAGTGGCAAGAAGCTGCACTGCAATCCCAGAAGCGCAAGGTTCGAATCCACCAGATGCTCTGTGGGGAAGGAGGGACAATCTCCTCCTGTACCAGTCAGATCTGATTTGACGGTACACACACACACACAAATAATAAATTTTTTTTTAAAAAGACTGTATTGTTATCCAGTTTATTAAACTTTCCCTCTGCCTTTTCTTCTTATATTTCCTAATCAGAAAAAGAGCTGACATTAGTTTTCAGAGACTTTGTGAGAAGTTCTACCTTTTATTAGTATAGAAAAAATGTATTTAAAAAAAGAATGAGCTCCTGGATTTATGGCCATAAGTACTACCAAGATAATTATTGATGACAGTAGAAAACACCTTGGTCTTTTTTCTCGTAGCCACATCAGGGGCTTTTCCTGGGTCAAGGAATTTTCAAAGCAAACCAACAAACAAACAGAAATGCTTGTTTTTAAAACAAGTATTTTCTAACTCTAAAATATTCCTTGTCCTTACTACATCCAAAGTGTATTCTAAGATTTCTTTTCACATAATTTTACCCTCTTGTCTTCCTCTTAAAATAGTGACTTAGAATAAAAGGATTAAAACAGCCCCGAGAGATCATCAAATATAAATACATTTTAGAAAAGAAGCAAACAATTAGTATAACAAAGCTATAGGATCACACACCTTGAGAAAAGCTCCCCAATGTTTTCCAGCTCTCCAATGGCCTGCAATCTGCCAAGTGTAGGATAGAGTGAGTACACAGACTCCAGGCTGCCCTTACACAATTCCTCCACTTCTTTCACTCTAGTCTCAGAGAAGAAAGACAATGAAAATAATCAAGAAGCTTTCAGAAAGAAAAAGTTCCAACTTTTTGTTAAAAGTACTCATTGTACACTTTGCTGTTGATCTACTAACAACTAATATATACAAGCTGTAGAATAATCAAGGGGTGGAAATGGGCTTTGGAATTGTAAAGTTCTAGATGTAAATAATATTTCTCCCATTTAAAGATTATGTAACTTTGAGCACTTTACTGCATTTTGCTGAGCCTAAGTATTTTCACACTTGGAATTATTATGAAGATTGGAGAGTAAATATGGAAAGAACCTTAAAATGGCTAGTATATAATAAGCACATAAAATTGGTAGCAAATACTTTTTCTGCAATAAACAAAGGTTTCAGTAGGTCAGTCATTTCTGATAAACAAAACCAAATCACATTTGACTAATGCTTTATGTATCCTTGTGCCTCACATGCAGAAAAATTATCTAATTACTATTATTGTTGTTGTTGATTGCAATCGATTCAAACACGACTCAGAGCAACCCTATGAAAAGGCCTAACGCCTTTCTATAACTATCATCATTTATCAAAGTTTCCAGAAGCATATAGTTAGCCTTCATATTATAAATTACACAATTAATGTCAAAAATGTCATGCATCATTTTAGTATTATAATTCCCAAGATTTAAAACTAGAGGCAATATTCATATTCACAGACACTAGCCCAAGAAGAGAATGGAGGCGTGGAAACCCCTCGGACTTTCAAGATGGCTAAAGATAAAAATATGACCTAGAGCCCCAAGGGGAATCTGCTTAGAGGTGGGGATCTGAGGGCAGGAAATGTCAAAGAAGCATCCTAACTAATGACCTCACCCCATTCCTGCACCACTGCAAAAATTTACATTGAGATTGTCAAGTTTTAAGGAAAGAAGACTTAGCATTAGATACTTTAATACAAGGCACTTTGACTTTTTACAATACCTGGCGTATCTGAGACTTTCATAAAACGCAGAAAACTCTCTGTCTCTTAGAGACTGCAGAGCATTGTACAGTGACTCATGGTAGCTGATTCCATCCATACCTTTGCTGTGAGATAATAAACAACATATTGAAAGACATATATTCCTAACATATACATTATAGACAAAACTCTAAAATGAAGATTTCTCCATTTTAGAAAATGAAACACATTGCTAGACAAGTTGGTAAGAAAAAGACTTTTGAGAGTCAAATTCTGGAATTAAAAAATAAGGAAATTTCTAGATATCTTGCTTAGTCCTAAATATAGTATATTCTTATTTATTTGTTCAATGAACACCTACTATGTCCCAAGCAGTGAAAACCAGGTTTTCCACTGTGGGATCAGACTCCCGCTCACTGATTTCATATTACGGTTTGAAGAATACTTTTTTTAAAAGTCAGACAATATTTTTTTTAAAGCCAGACAATGACAATGGACATCCAGATAAATAAAATACAGTAACAAAACAGAATGTAGTGGCTAGTTTTGGATAGACGATGAGGGAAGGTTTCTTGGAAAAAATGGCATTAAACTTTAGTTTGTATGACAAAGATCAATCGAGATCACAACAGGGAGAAAAACAAGCAAGGGTATAGCTAAGGCCTTTAGTTATGAACAGTGTGGCCTAATAAAAGAAATCAAATAAAAACAGAAGGTCTGTGTGGCTGAAACAGCAGGCACAGGGAAGAACAGTACATGATACTTTACAGAAGTCAGTCTTTATCTTCCAGGTCAGAGCAAAATGTTTTTAACATCTGAGAATGTAACCGAAAATAGGGGAAAAAAATTTGACTCATGGGGATTGTTTTTAGGAAAACAAATGTAACTAAGTACGATTTCATTTTCTACTATTTCTTTCCGCAAAAGACTTTACATAAATACAAAACCTTTGTTAAATTAGGTGATAGGCTTTTCAATCAGAAAGCCTGGTAACCTTACATATTACCTTCCTGTGTCAGTGACTTAGGTTTTTTTTGTTTGATAAAATTATACCATAAAGGTAAGCAATCTTTTGTGTACCATCAGTTAAAAAGAGTTATATCTGATTAACTAAAATGTTTGTAGCACATAGTGCAAAGCGGAATGCCTATACTGTTCAATGGATTCCAACCACTAAAAGTGAGAGGATTCTGGTGTAGAAAAGTACATTTTATTCTACAATCTACTTTCAAAACTATCTTAGGGTTAGGGGTAAGGCTTCCCTACTAGAGAAAAGTGTGGCCACTGTGTATGTTAACTTCTTATTGTTATTTTACTTTACACTTTTAGGCTTAACTATGCCTTGCAGTATCTGTGGTAGGGGGAAAAAAACCACCACAATTCATATTCTAAGAGAAAAAAAATTACTGTTTAGAATTTAAAAAGGAAGGGGAAATGTGAAACCAAGTTCAGACTTCTTACTTGACATAATTGCACTGGTCCCACTGCATATTCCTCCATGCTGCTTGGTAATGGAGTTCCTGTAGCTCAGCACACCACTCTTTATTTTCATGATCTAATCCTTTTAGATAGGTGGAAAGAACATGGCAGAGTCCCAAATTCTGCAAGGCCTGGGTGTAAGATTGGGGAAAATTGTGAGTTATCAAAAACACCGATGGGTAATCTCCCCCAGTGCCCCGGAAACCCACTAGCGGGTCAGCTGTAAATCAGTTCCTACTTGACGGCAATTTGCGTTTTAATAAAAAACAGTTCAGCAAAAAGTAACAAGAATTAGCAAACATAAAAAAAGAAACTAAGAAAATTTGGGGGTTCAGAATGTTGCATGAAATGCCAAAATAATGTTCAGCATGCTCCCTCTGAAACATATAAAGAGAACTAAAAGGCTCTAATTCTTGATGGGTAACGACTAAAGGGTATATTGGTCACTGCAAAATGACAGTTTCTGAGGTTCACTGTAGTACAAGTTGAGAAACAAGATTAATTATCCGGTGAAGCATACACAGCACACTGTCATCCAAGTAAATTCAGTATGTGTCATCTTCTGTTAGCTAATAGGATTATGATCAACAAATCCCTATGACTTCTTAGCTCAATGTCTTATCCAACACTCCTGTGTATCTTTCTGAGCAAATGCCTAAAAAAAAACCCCAGATCACTTCCAAACTCTTCGCTGGAATTTACTTGATTGTTCCTTTGACACATGGAGACAATCTCCCTGAGATCTCACCAATGACAGCTTTATGAAAACAGAAAAACATACCTGAATAATTCCTGCCTGGCGGGTGGATGAGGTGATAGCTGCCTCTAGGTCATACGTCACGAGGGCTTTACTCCACATTGCTTCATGTTCATATGTTCGTATTCTTGAAGAAATTATTTTAAAAAACATCTTTAAGTTCTATATGAATTAATTCCTTCTGCTACAGAAATGATTTAGGAAGATACAATTTACCTGGTAAGGGGTTGTAGCATTTTGCCTCCACCACAGCCATACAGGCTGTCGGGCTCCCCTATACTTCTATAGATTTCTAGGAGAAGATCCTGAAACAGAACAACAAAAATAGGAGCGGAAAAAAGAACATTTTGTGAACTTTAACAAACTTAAAAGTGCAAACTTGAAATTACTAACATGTAACTCCTAACTCTAAAGTAAAAAATTATGATATTGAAATATACACTACGTATCTGGATCATCAACAGTCTATTAAGACTTATCCCAGACAAATGAATGACTATGGCCTACCAGAGGAGAAAGCTCACACTTCAAGAATGAGACAAGAAAAAAAAATACTTTCAGGTTTCCATCTCATAAAAAATAATTACAAGAAATAAAACAACAGGGCCACAGCTAAAATTGTAAATGGTAAGATACAGAGTTTGGTAGAAATAAAGGTCTTAAATTTTATCTGAAAGTTAAAAATTGCATTATAATTCTTGAAAAGTGATATAGATAAAGTAAAACAGATCTAAATCCAGACAAAGTGGCTTGATAACTCATATTCTCAAAAACAAATTTACAAAAAATGTAAGTTTAAAATAATCACCTTTATTTTGAAAAGTAGGAAAATTGGAAAGATATTCCACAAAAAAACTTTATTTAAGAACTGAACTACACTGATGTGCTTTATGTAGGAAATTTCAGACATGAAAATTCACTGACACTAATTGATGCCCTAGTGGTAAGGTGCTGTACTGCCAAACCAAAGGCATGAGGTTTGAATCTATGAGCTGCTCCAAGGGAGGAAGATGGGCAGTCTCTCCCTGTGTGATATACTGCCTCCGAAAGCCCGCTGGAGTGTCAGCTTTGGGTCATTTCTAACTTGAGAGTACCTAACAATGACAACATGATTCTCTAATTCTAATCACAAAGGAGCCCTGGTAGCACAATGTGTTAAGTGCTAGTCTGCTAAGAGAAAGGTTCGTAATTAGCAGCAACCAGCCGCTCTGCAGAAAAAACATGGACACTCTTTGCCTACAGATTTACAGCCTCCGAAAGGCAATGGAGGGTCTCCATTAACTCGAAATGCAGTTTTGGTTTTGATTTCTTAGAAGCCATATCATGAAGCCATACTTTGGCTTGGAACTTTCAGTACCCAAGCCTCGCATAGTCATTGGTGGAGAAGACCGTCCAAAACTCAGTAAAGGACAATGAGACCAAAAACCTAAACACCAGAAGGAAAAAATTCAGGTGAATGAAATTAACCAGGTCAACAGAATTTATTTTAAACAAGGTATGATCACTGGTGTTAAGGATTAGTGAAATATAAAGAACGAAAGGTGAACATCACTTGGAAACATGAAGTTTATTAATGGTGACACTGTTGTTAGATGTCGTCGGGTATGACTCATAGTGACCTTATGAAAACAGGCCCAAACCCTGTGCTATCCTGTGCCATCCTCATCATATCCGACACATTAGCAAGTGCTAATTCGGAACTAGAAGCTAAAATGAGACTGTAAATATAAACTCTTATCACATGCTTTGGTTGTAAAGGGTGGGAGGACAGTGACTGATTCCCAAAAGAGAACATATGGAAACTGGTAATAATCCTGTTTTTATGATAAAGGAGTATTTTAATGGGAAAGGTATGAAAATGATTAATAGAAGACCAGCTGAGAGTAAGCATGTTGTTGTTAAGTGTCGTCGAGTTGTAGGTGACTCATAGCAACCCTATGAACGAAAGCCATCGACAGTTGCTTGACTTTCATCCATTCTCCAGAGTAAGCATAGCATAATAAAATAATGTATTCTTTCTGAGAAAGAGCAGATAAAAACAAAGCACAGGAAGGATTAAGTTTAGATTTAAGGATAAACTTATCTACTTTTAAGAGATAAGAAAGTCAGAATGAGGTAGATCCAAGATTTCTGTTTAATAGTGAAACATGATGATTCCGCCTATCTTACATTCCCTATTTCTCAAGAAGTACGAAGCAAGTGGAAAGCAATGGCAGAAAAGAGAATGTTCAGAGGTTTAAGTGTTGTTGTTACTGGGTACCAGTGAGTTGGAACCAATTCACAGCTTGACCCTCCAAGGTTTCAGAGGCAGTAAATTGCTAAGAGAGTACTTTTCTCCTATGGAGCAACTGTTGAATTCAAAACCACAAGTCTTTGGGTTGGCAGGGCAACCCCAACTCCTTACCACTAAGCAGGCAATCATCCAGAGTGTTAGTACAGAGAGTCACTTTGAGAGTAGATATTTAGACATTTCCAGTGAAAATAACTGGCTCTGGAAAGCAATATAATAAACAATCAAGGAAATAATTGTAAATTACAAGTATTATAAAAAAAATTAACCAAGTGTGATGGAAGGAAATACACAGAATAATCTCAACTGATGAAATAGGTTGTTTTACCTCTATCTTTCAGATAGAAATTTATTAAGTAATTTGGACAAAGTTATACAGCTAAGCAGCAGAGTCAGGCTTAGAATTTTTGTGTTTTCTACTCCATGGTCTACATTCAAGTCATTCATGCATGTATATGGCACTCTGTCCAATATATAACTTCAGTTCTAAAATCAAATGACATCTACATATAATACAATAATCTCTTTGCACAAATCTATTATTAAGAGCTTCTAACATTTACCTGCAAACTTATTCCAGTTTCTTCTTTACTTTTTTCACTTAAACTAGAAATAGCTGTACCCTGGCTTTCTTCTTCAAACGCAGGAGTCCTGTTTGTCACAAGAGCACCTCTTTTAATGAGAACATACTATGTGAAATTCCAGAATTCATACACTATAGACTTTTTAAAAGAAAAACTAATGACAGTAACAAAATAAACCATACATACATTTTAAAATCAGTATCATTTAAACCTAAAGTAGAAATTTCTGAGCATTAGTTATCTGAATGAGAATTGCATTCTAATAATCTCCTATACATGGGAAGGCTGTATGCCAAACCATGCTTACATAAAAGGACAGGCTTGTTATGAAACAGATCTCTCTTTCTCCACCCAACTCAGTCTCTAAATGTCTTCTGCTTCCTAAATACGGGTGTTTGCATCTAAAATGCAAGGTCATTAATAATCACAGGAACATAAGATCACATGGAGACACCCAATAGACTGAAAAAAATCAAATATGGTAATATTAAATGTTTAGAAAAGAAATTAGTAGATCTACTTATTTCAAGATTGTAACATTAGTAAGTAACAGATTCAGGATTAGAACTCGGATTTGTCTACTCTAAAGTATAAGCCTCCAACCACGCATTTTATCAAACACTCCTCTTAACGAACGTTAACCAAGATGAAATCTAGGCACACAGGCTTTAAAATAAGCACAATGTAAAAAAAATGTGCCATATTCTATATACTTACCCTTAAATTGAAGGGTTTTTTTATTTATAAGGGGTTTTTTTAACTTATAACACAGCTCAGTTATTCCCTCTGATTGATAAGAAACACTATTCTATAGAACCAAGGTACTGAATCCCACAGTGGTAGAAATGACTTCAACTCCTAGCCAATAGGTGGTGGTTCAGATTCGCTAAGAAGATCCAAGAAAGAAAAGCCCATTCATTGACTTCTGAAAGGCCAGAGACTCTAAAACCCTACAGAGCCACTGTACTCTGTACATATGTGGCTATCATGCTTTGGAACAGACTGGATTGAAGCTAACAACATAATAACCAAGACAATGAAGCATAATTAGATTATAATTACTACTACCAAGTATGTAGACCCTGACTCAAATACTTAAGATGCTAAAACTAAAAGGGAGCCCTTGTGGTGCAGCATGTTCTAAGCTGGAATGCTAACCAAAAGGTCAGTACTGCTCTGCTGAAGAAAGACAACTTCCTCCTGGAAAGATTTACAGTCTCAGAAAACCTAAGAACTGACTCAGCATGAGTAAATGTGATTGGTCTGGTTATGAATTGGAAATAACAAATTTCATAATCACTACATACTTAAAAAACAACATACTTGCTGATGGCAAATGTATCTTAGCTTAAAGTTAAGAATATCAGAAAAGTGTTTATTTGTGTTTTATTGACTATGTTAGGTCATTCAACTGTGTAGATCATAATAACTTTAGATAACATCAAGAAGAACGGAAATCCCAGAAGACTTAATTGTTCCCATTCAAAACCTATACCAAGACCAAGGAGCAGTCATTCAAACAGAACAAGGAGACACTGTGGTTTAAAATTAAGAGAGGTCAGACTTGTGTCCTTTTTCTCTATGCCTTTTCAGTATGTATGTTGAGCAGATAATTTTGAGAATCTGAGACTACATATATGAAGAAGAATGTGCCATCAGGATTGGAGGAAGACTCACCAACAACCTACATTATGCAGATGACACAACATTGGTTGAAGAGAAAGAGAAAAGCAGAAGATCAAAGACTGTAACTTTTAATACTGATTACAGCAAGAAAACAAAGTCCTCACAGGGCCAATAAAAAACAACATGACAGATGGAAAAAAGAATGAAGCTGTCAATGATTTCATTATCAGTCAATCATGTGAAAAATATTTATTGATTATGTTAAGTTAGCTGCTTTGGGGAATACAGAGAATAAAGTATGGCTTATGTCCATCAAGAACTGGCTATCTGTAAAAATTTTACAATTCATAAGCAACAATAATCTTTGTTATTTCAAAGAATAATTATTATTTCTCTTTTAAAATTTTAAAAAAATATTTTACTTTAAAAAACTCTAAAATAGCTCTTAAAGGGCGGAGAGACAGAGAAAACAAATCTTTAATATATACCTTTATGGAAACTGTATTAATATCAAACTTGAAAACCAAAATTTTAAATTACATTTACCTTTTCTCTTGATCATCCATGTTTTTCTGATCTGCATAAATTTCTGCATAGAGCAATGCAGTAAAATGAGCAGCACATGACTGAGCTACTTTGGCAACTTCCAGGTAATTTAAATCCAGCCAGAAAGCATCATCAAAAACTGTTTTGGAGGAAGGTCTAAGGAAAAATACAAAGATAAGGTCAAGTATATTTCTTTAACTTAATTCTCTAAAAAAAAAAGCCATCCTAAACAGTAAATTACATTCCAAATAAGTAAAAACTGTTTTTGTTGTTGTTATGTGCCATCGAGTCACTTGCGACTCATAGTATCCCTATGTACAAGAGCTCTGAAACCTGCTCTATCCTGTGCCAATTTTATGTCTCTGACACACCAACCCCCATTACTCTATCTAGTCACTCGGTCAATCCAACTCATCATGGGTATTCCTCTCTTGTACTGTCCCTCCAACCTCACAAGCATGATGTCCCTCTCCAAGGACTTGTCTCTCTTTGCAATATGTCCAAAGAAAGTATGTCAGATATAACTTCAGCATCCTTGCCTTAAAGGAGCAGCCTGCTTTCACCCTCTCTTGGATGAATCTGTTTGTCCTCCTAGCAGTCCATGGTATATTCAATACTCTTCTCCATCACCACAGCTCGAAGGCATCAATTTTCCTTCTATCATCCCTAGTCACTGTACAGCTTTCTGATGCATAGCAAGCAACTGCAAAGACCATAGTCTGGATCAGGCAAACCGTAAGTCTTCAGGCTAACATTATTGCTCTTTATTACTCTGGCGAGGTCCCTGACAGCAGACTTTCCCAATGTAATTCATCATCTAAATTCCTGGTGGCTGGTACCAAGAGTGTTGATTGTAGAGCCAAGCAAACTAAAGCTGTAAACAATCTCAATCTCTTCACCATCTATCATGATGCTGCCTATAGGTTCAGAGGTGAGAATCTTTGTTTTCTTGATGTTGAGTTTCCGTACATTTTGAAGGCTATAGTCCCTGACCTGCTGCTGCAAAGACCTCAGGTCCTCCTCAAATCAACAAGCAAGGTTGTGTCATCTGCATAACGCAGGTTTTTGATGAGTTTTCCTCCAATCCTAATACCACATTCCTCCTCATTGAGCCCAGCCTCCTGGATGATCTGCTACACATATAGACTGAAAAGGTATGGTGAAAAGACACATCCTTGGTGTACACCCTTCTCAATTTTGAACCATGCAATGTTTCCCTCCTCAGTTCTAATGACTGCCTCCTGGTCCAAGTATGTTGTAGTTGTTGTTAAGTGCCGTAGAGTCGCAGGTGACTTATAGTGACCCTAGGAAGGATCCTCAACGTTTGGATGTCTTGCATCCTCTCTCCAGGTTCATAGGGTTTCCGGAGGCAAGCTATTAAGGAAGTGGATGCCACTCCTCCTTCCAAGCTTAGGTTTCACATAAGCACAATCAAGTGTTCTAGGATTCCCTATAATTCAGCTGTAGTCAATGTCCATTATTCACTGGTCTAATATTTGCTAGTTCAGCTACTCATCAGAATGTGTAACAATAAAGCACATATATATATGGTGCTCTTCTGGTCACTTACAGACATCTGCTGAGTGGAAAAAATCTGAGCTCTTTGATGTGCATGATCTTATCTCAGACAGAAAAAAGTGACACTCCTCCTTCAATTCTCATTTGTAAAAATGGTCCTTTATACGATCTATTTAGTGTCACAGTTTTCACATTTTTGTGCTTTCTGCTGGGGATGTTACTGTTTAAAGTGGCTCCAAACCGTGCAAGGAGTCCTGGTGGCATAAAGGTTAAGTGTCCAGTGACTAACTGAAAGTTTGGTAGTTTGAACCACCAGCTGCAACACAGGAAAAAGGTCTGGTTATGTGCTCATTTAAAGCCTTCAGCACAGAAAATCTTACTGGGCAATTCCACTCTGCCACATAGGTTCTCTGAACTGCAATCTACTCAACAGCACACAAGAATACCGCTGAAGTACTGACTAAAGGACCTAAGCCCAAGAGAACAGTGACGTGACTTATGGAGAAAACAGTGTTCCATAAGTATCATCAGGCATGAATAATAGTATGGCTGGCCATAAGTTTAATCTTAATGTAAACAGTAAACAGGAAATTAAATAAAAAAAAAACTCAAACTCATGCATGCCTTTGAATCTAGAGAGATTCCGTTTCCTTTGCAGTGGGTGTCAAGGTCTATAAATGGAACGAGAGGAGACTCCTCATCATTCTCCTGCAGACCCTCTGCTGGATCTGACTGCCAGAGAGGTTACCCCTTATAGGCTGTACCACCAGAACACCATGTGTATGAAATAAGGTGGTTAAACAGAAACAGAGTAAGATTACATATTGATAAGCTGATGTAACAGTTATGATCAGAGGGTCACTGGAATGAATTTCCTATAGGAATACTGAATGTCAACATTGACAAATTCAGTGGTAGCAGTAATATTACAGAACATACTGCTACAAATAAAGGGAATTGACTATACAAATAGACTAAGATAAGATGGCTGAGTAGCTCTATTTTTTACTCATTTTTGGTCACAAACCTTTCAGAGAAACTGATGAAGGCTACGAACCATCATCCCATAAAATGAGGTCCAAATTTGCCCTATACCAGAAGATAGATAGACCACAGGCTAACATGTTTTAAAGATAAAAAGAACATTTACTCAGAGTTGCAATGATTAAATAAAGCTTGGCCAGACACACAGAAACATAAATAAAGCTTATACAATTAACAGCTACAGCATTTATCTGTAGTTTTTTATTTCTGAGGATCTAAAAGTTCAGAGAATTCAAATAACTTGTTCAGAAAAAAAAGTCATGTGTATCTCTTTTAATGTCCATAGCTACTTATCATAGTAAACTTCATCCAGGATTTAAAGGTGATGAAAATGAGATACAAAGACAAGTAACCTGTCTGCATCACCAAGCTTTAAAGTATCAGACTTAGACCTGATCCCACATCACATTCTCAGTCTTTTTCTGTGTCTCATTTATATTTTCTGAAGGATTCTTCTTTAAAGTCTTATTTAAAATTAAAATTCTAAAAACTTCTATCTTTGTGAAATCCTAATAATGTCTACATTCTTATAGCCCAGTCATAAACTTGAAATTAATGACTTAGGAGACTGTCTCCTAACACCAAAAAGAGTGACATTTCCAGTTATAATCAAAGCTTCTAAAGGCTTTCTCAGAGAAGATGTGGCATGATGCAATAAGGTACATCAGTAACTTTCTAACCAGAGACAAAGAATGAGGAGAACCCTAAGGGAGGACAAAGAGGAAATAATTTTAAAATGTAAATAGATTTAATTTGAAATGTATTATTCTTTTTCTCCATTCCATTTTTTTTGAGTTGTTTTTTTTTTAATTTTATTATTTTTTGTGCATGTACTGTCAAATCAGATCTGACTGGTACAGGAGGAAATTATCCCTCCTTCTCCGGCAGAGCATCTGGTGGACTTGAACCGTGTACCTTTGGGATTGCAGTATAGCTTCTTGCCACTAGGCCACCAGAGCTCCCCTTTAATTGAGATTTTTAACAGAAGTTTGTACAGGATATGGTTTTCCATTCATTCATTATTGCACATTTTCCTCCCCCCGCCTCCTCACGGTTCATTTTTCTCCTTGAAGAAAAAAATTCTTTCATTGGTGTACAACTCCACCGCCCCAGTCCACTTTACTGTGCAGCTCTTATATCAGACTGTTGTCATGCAAATTAATACCTAATCATATATTCCTTTTAAGCTTTTCTATTCCTCATCTGTTTCAATGCAGTATACATTATTTATTTCCTCTTTTCTTAGTTTTCCCCCAACCCCCATGTCAGTCCTGTTTTATAACAGTAGCATTATGCAGTATTTGTCCTTTTATGACTGCGATATCTCACTCAGTATAATGTCCTCCAGGGTCAACCATTTTGTAAACTATTTCATGAGTTCCTTATTTATCAGTGCTGCACAGTATTCCATTATGTGAATATACCACAGCTTTTCTATCCATTCATTTGGTGATGGGCACTTGGGTTGCTTCCATCTCTTTGCTACTATTAACAATACAGCATTAAACACGAGTGTGCATATATATATTTGTCTGGGTGGCAGTTCTATATATTCCCAATAGTGGAATTGTTAGGTCAAATGGCATTTCTATTTCCAACTTTTTGAGAAAGCACCATACAGCCTTCCATAGTGGCTGCACCATTTTACACTCCCACCAACAGTGAGTAAGGGTTCCAGTTTCTCTGAAACCTCACCAGCACTTGTTGTTTGTGTCTCTGTTGAATTTTTCTATTCCTACTGGGGTGAGATGATATCTCACAGTTGTTTTCTCCTTTCCATTCTTTACCAAACCACTTCCACAGAGGTTGCAAGATTTTGCAAATATTATGAGTATAACTGAGACTATGAGTCAGGGTTCCTGACACTGATTACCAACTAGTCTGCCAAACTGGGATTATTAAAAGGAGATATAATCATCACTCAAATTAAAAGACAGCACCTTCAGCAGCTTGACCTAAATGTAATCAAGTTCAGCAGGCATTTACAAACTGGACAAGAATCCCATTACATTACCTCTTTTGTCTTCTCATGTAGTCCACAACAGCCAGCATTGTTCTTTGTGATTTTTTATCCGAACAGCCTCGGAAAGAGTGTTCTGAATCTGACAAACACAGATTATTTCTTGTTAGTCCTAGACAGACGTAACATTCGTTTGTTCTTCTGTTTATGTGCTAGTTTTTATACTACAAGGTTTTGGTAGGCAGTAGTTAACACAAGATTTGTTTTTAACATAAACTGGCAAACATATTAAGTGGGAAGTTTGGGAATTTTTTCTTTTTATTAATTTTAATAAACATTTACAGAGATTTTGGATTTCCATTCATTCATTGCTGCACTTTCCTCCCTGCCCACTCCTCCCCAAGAGCTCGCTCCTCTCTTTGAAAAGAAAAAAAAAATTCCTTCCTTGGTATATAATTACCCCATCCCCTCCTGCCCCGGCACCAAGTACACTTCTCTATGCAACCTTAATTCTGGGGAATTTTTTAAGGAAAGTATTTTGTTTAATAGGGAGCCCTGGTGGCCTCGTGGTAAAAAACTGCACTGCAATCCCAAAGGTATGTGGTTTGAATCCATCAGGTGCTTCACCTTCAGGAGAAGGATAGGCAATCTCCTCCCATTGGAGGATCTACTCTGGGTCAGTTCCAATTTGACAGCACACAACAACAACAACAATAGTAGCATTTTGCTTAATAAAACTAAGAATTTATGTTGTAATTTATAGTTAATTTCCAAGAGGGAATAAAGTATTAATTCAACAAATTTTTTTCTGGATCTTTCATGTATGGTTGTTGTGTGCTACTGTGTTGGAACCAACTCACAGCTAAACCTGCAATGAGCTTTTGGAGGCTGTAAAATGCACAGGAGACTCCCCATCTTTCTCCCACAACCAGCTTATAGATTTGAACCACGTACCTTTGGGTTCGCAATGCAACTTCTTACCCACCTGACCAACAGAGTTCCACCTTTCATATACTAGGCACTTAACATACAATCAGGGGTAAAACAGATTCTTTCTAAGCCAGAACCCACTGACTAGTCTGGGAAACTCAATGTGAGAAGTCCAATATAGGGATTGTTTGGAATTAGATAAATTAAAAATCTAATCCAAACAAGAAAAATGTCACAGGGAAAAGGAAAAGAGAACTTTAAGGGACAGAACAGTTAATCTGGAGAAGGGGAAAGGATGGTGCTTTAGGCATTAGTGATAACATCTGACATGGCTGGAAGCAAGAACTCAGAAAATTATGGACCTAAAGAAGAGTAGGATACTGGGAACAGAGATAAATAAGATGAACAAAGTTATGCCTGCCATAGAATTGATAGTCTTTGGTAATCAGATATGATATGTGAGACAAAGGTAGTTTTAGCGTTCATGTTTCTGGCTTAAAAAACTGAGTGTCATTCAGAAAAAAATGACACACAGAGAGCGGCTTATGTTTACTTTTTACTCGACTGTTGAGTTTCAGATGCCCATGGGACATTCAACAGAAGGCACTGAGAATTAACACATCTGAAAAGGTATTTTATTTAATTTGCTATCTACATCTATTTTCCTTTGAATAAAAATTTTACATGTGAAGTTAAAATTTCACCTAAGAGTGTAAAAATAATGGTGCTCTACAAAGACAGGTCTACAAACTGATTTTCTCTTTGGATGGCTGGAGTATAAATACCTACTTAAAAATTATTAACATAAAAAAAGTTTTGGAAGTATTAATAATGATGAGGACAAACTGTAAGGCTATTACAGCCAGTTATTGTAACAATTATAGTAAACTGTATAAAACTGTTTTCATGGTACAATAAGTCATATGTTGTTTTTGTTGTTGTTAAGTGCCGTTAAGTCACAGGCGACTCATAGCAACCCTATGCAGGAGAGCCCTCGACGCTTGTGCCTTTCATCCTCTCTCCAGGTTCATAGGGTTTCCGGAGGCAAGCTATTATGGAAGAGGATGCCACTCCTCCTTCCACGATTAAGTCATATACTATTTCAAAAATGTAAATAATCACTAGCCACTGCTGTCAGTGCGATTGTGACTCCTGACCACCCTCCATCCGGTTTCCCAGGCAGTGTACCTCACGGGGAGACAGCAGTCAAACTGCTGACCTGCACAGTCAGCACCACATCACTAAGATTCCTTACATACCTACTCTCAAAAGACTCAACTTGGATTCGATAATGTTGTAAATAATGGCATTATTTAATGTTATATAACAACAGGTATATAAGTAATTGAATTTTAAAAAGGATCTTTTTAAAAACTTAAACAACTGAACTCATTGCTGTTAAACTGGATCTGACTCTCTCGTGACCCTTCAACGGCGTTTCAGAGGCTGTAAACTGCACAGGAGAGACTGCCCATCTTTCTCTTGTAAAATAGCTGATGGACTTGAACTGCATGTCTTTGGGCTGGCAGCACAACTTCTTACGCACTAGGCCACCAGAGTGCTCATAAATGATTACTAGTGGCTATGAGTCATTTCTATCTTTATTTCTCAAGCTGAGACTAGTAGACATATTTTAGGGAGTTTGTGAAGTCCCTACGAGAATTTCTTATTTAAGGTTTTCATTTCAACAGCCTAAAGAAAATTAATATAAGTAAATTCAAATTATGTTGACATTATTAGAACTATAGTCAGGCATTTTAGCTCCAAGAAAATGTCCTGTAACATTAACTCAATATTTTATACTGGTTTAATATTACACAAATAAAGACATTAAAAAAACAGTGGAGATTTGTGAATTTTTTCCTTCCTATACTTAGGTTTGAAAACATCCATATTAAAAAAATATTTTGCTTTGCTTTATATACATGATTGTATACTGACAAGAGTATTTAAAAAAAAACCACCCAAATAACTGAATCAGTAAATTATTCCTCCTCAAAAAAAAAGGTTAAACTAAAATATACATTCTGAATTTCCGTGTCTACCTAATATGTGTACTAAATAATTCCTAGTAAAATTTCTGCAACCTCTATACTTATGCCACATACAATACTCATTTATACTATATGGAACAAAAGTAGGTTACAAGGTTAAGTGAAGCACAGCCAAATCTCTGTTGAAAATGTTGGAAGCACATATGCCAAATGTTAACTACTATTACACAAGATTATAGGATATAAGTAATTTAATTTTTAAAATTATTATATTGACATCTAAATCTATTTCCACAGTAACTTTGTAATAAAAAGTTGCTTTGAAAAACTAGTTGGCCAGATCTCCAAAAATAGGAAAGATTCCATCACATCGTACCTATTTGACTGCATTTATTTATTTGTGCACGTTCACTATTGCTTTAAGGCAGGTTCCCAGCTTATATGGCCTCTCTGGTTGACATCGTATATCTAACACAGACTGAACACTTATTTAATAGCTAAAATGTACTGAGTTAATATTATTAATATGTATCAGCATTCTCCTGATGGGTTTACATATATTAAGTCACTGAAAACTGGCTGTAGCTTTTGTTAACTCAATTCTACATGAGGAAAAAGAAATTGAGGTTACAGAATTGGGTCTGTAAAGTGTCTTTAATGGGATTGAAATCAAAATCTTTCTCTACAACTGAGAAAGTAACAGATGAAATATCGGAAATTTAACAAATGACAGAAATACCTGAATCCAAAGTCGCAGGGGTTGTGGACCGGCTAGTCTGAGTGGTATGCCGGAAGCAGTTAGTGAAAAATCCCTGAATATGAGTAGAAAGCCGATTTCTCCACAACTCATTAGTATCTTGCAGCAAAATATCATGAATCAAGTACGGAAGCACTGTCTGACAAAAGTCAGTTTTTACCTAAAGTAAGCAAACACATTCAGACAATAGTTTAAATAAAAACAATGCATTTTATTTAAAATTTCATTCCTTGATACTGACACACTGAAAAAAAAATAGCAAAATAATCTGCTATAAACTCAATTTAACTGATTACCAAAAACTAGGGAAAAAGAAGTCTCATCTACTGAGTAAAATAATACATCACTAAAAAAACAACTTTTAAGCCAAAAAGTTTAAGATTTGTTATAATGTTTAAAGGGACAAGATTAATTCTTCATTTTTGTAATTTTTAAAATATTAACTGAGGAACTATGTAGAGTTTTATTACTTACATAAATTGCTAGGTAGAAAATATGGATAATTTTTGTGGTACACCCCAAAGTGTAGAAAAATGCTTTAATATGTGTCTCAAACTAACTAACTGTGGTCGAGTTAGAACCGCCTCACAGCTGATGCTCCACGGATTTTCTGAGGCTGCACACTGCTACAGAGGGTACTGCTCATCTTTCTGTCTTTGTGGAACTGGCTGATTCGATCCACCAGAGAGGTGCTGCCTTTGGGTCAACAGTGTAACTCCCTACACACTGCACCTACAACAGTATATATACTCAATGTTATTTTTGCTGAGACATCATCTTCACCTTCCTATGTTCATCATACATCACACAGATTACTAACTGAATACTTTTCCCTTCCGCAAATTATACAGAAGTCAAAGAGCACTTTTTTGGAAGTTGTTGCTGTTGTTATGTGCCATCGAGTCACTTGCAACTCACAGTGACCCTATGTACAAGAGCTCTATACGCTCTTCTATCCTGTGGGTTTAGAAGGGGTCGTGGTACTAGGGATATTATAGCCGATGTTAGATGGATCTTAGCTGAAA